TATTGATTTTTTAACGAGTTTGATTACAGTTTCCGTATCCTACACTTAATTTTAGTTAATCTTAAGTCTTTGTTTCATATGCGATATAAATATATACATACACACCGTGTTTATCAAGTAACACATAGATATTGAATAAAGCACGTGTTTTTATACAGACGACCTAGAAAAGTCGCGTCAGGCCGTCATTCTCACTCATGATTTTAAAAAGTAAACACATTTCTAGAAATATTTGTAATGCTGATTAAAGTATAATGCCATAGCTACCGCATGCACTTATTCATTTCTTTATTTTTGGTTTACTATAGAATATTAAGGCCCGTTTACTTTGCATATTACACGTTTCGTACAGATTCGGCTTTACTTTTGCCTAAATCGTGCGTTATTTTCATATTACTGCGTTACTTAATATACACCTGTTACATGAATCTCCATATTCATTGTACAAAAGTGGCTCAGGAGTAATTTTCTCCTATAGTGTTTGTCTATATCTGCAGTAGATCGTTCTTTGACAAAGCAGGTGTCATTAGTCTTTAGGGGGCCAATTTTTATCACAATCACTGACATTTTGTCGTCTTTAATTATCACTAGTAGAATAATAAGACGAATTCTAGATAAACTGATGGATATAGTATTTACAATCAAATTTATTTCCTCCTCAGAAAAGAACTTTTAGATACAGGTACTTTCTAGTGATTTTTTTTATAAATACCCCCAAAGACGGTCCATAACGCCTTCTGTGTCAGTGCCCCGTATTCCTTCATGCAGGGTCCTTCAAATAGAAAATTTGCTTGTCTTTATGAAGACCTTGTCAAGTAAACTAAACAAAATAAAACCTCTCCGGAGATAACTGATGATAGATGGAACTTTCAGAAATATCATGGCATCGAAACCTTTTTGTAAAATGCATTCATTTGCGTGTATACAATCCAGTATTAATGATAATGATATCTTTCACAGCTTCATTAGTTTTAACAAATTGTTTATGTTCTTGCGTGTACAGATCACATGTTTAATGATAAGAATCTTACCTGTCGTCTGCTGGAGGAAAAACGCCTGATTAAAGCAGCGGATGTCATTTTACTGTTTTAAACTGGTAATTTGTTGCGGAGGAATGTACGTCAACGAACAAACTTCATAAAATAGCAAACTAACTTGTTGGGTAGATTTTGGTAGATTAGTGAGAAAATGAAAAGACTAGCATATAATCAGAGATGTTTAACAAGATCATATGTATATTTATGTACATGTATGCTTCGCTCCCAATTACAATATAGGTTTTATCCGTTTTGTTAAATATTGTGCAAAGTCGTAATCAGTCATTGTATACTCACTGTGCGTATATAAACGTTTATTTCATAAAGGGACATCATGTACTTTCGTTTTACATACTATTTTGATTCCATATATTTATCATATTTCGTATATCGTATTTGATAAAAAAAATATGTGAACAAAGCGCTGAAGGCACTGGAATTGATATGACTTTCAGAATGACATGTGTATAAAATACAAAATACTAACTGTATTATTTACCAAAAAGCAACAGAAGAAAAAAATGACTATAAAATCTCAAGAAAAATAAAAAGCTACTGAGAAATAAAATCAAATAATTTCTTGGGCATAATGAGCTTTTCAATAATCAAGAAAATGTCACACAAATTCATATCCAATATAGGATAGATTTATTGGATTCTACATTGTCCAAAGGACGGTTTCATTTTACAATTCAGAAGCTGTAATTTGCTGAAACAAAATGTTAAGAACAAAATAAAATACGTCATGACATTGATAAATCTGGTACCACCAGATATGAAAGTAATTGTTCACGTCACAAAACCTAGGATAATAATTTGTCACGTCATAAAAATAATTATAGGAAAATGTCGATTCACGTCACAAAAAATATTCTTGACGATAAGAAATCTATTTTTCTTTACAAAATTCCATCATAGATAACACTAAAATGACCTGTTTATTATTACAGATAACTTGTGGGAAGAAAATATCCGGACCTTTTATCAGCTGTATATCCTACAAATTAAAACCATATTTGATAAAACATCACTTTGCGTGTTAGCAAGCAAGAATTAATGCTGATTATATTGTTAACTTCATCTTTATTTTCAACATGACACAAACAAGCTAGTTACATGAATATCATACATGCAAACGACATATTAAATGGCAGATTCCTTTTCTTCTGTTATTATCAGTTTATGGTGGGTGTCGTATTTTCACTCCGCGGGGCGCCAGACGGAATCACGAAAATAAGACTTTCGAATTATGGTGTTTGCAGAGACATAGATAACAGAGATAGGCAACTTCCTAGCCAGTTAAAATATCACACGTGCCTGCTAAACTTAAAACTTGTAGCAAGTAAAACTTATTAACCAGATATCAAAATCTGTAAAATGATACATTTTCTGAAAGCTTATGCTTTTGTCTATGGCTGCAGGTAAAAATATTTACAGTTCCGATTTAAATAAATGCTACATCAATTTTTAAAGAGAACTACATAATAATTTTTGTTAAAAAACTATTCATATGACAAAAAAAACAGGCTCAGTGGGTATGTTCTGCTATGTTTTTCTAAGTGAAAGGTATGGAAAGTTACCAATATTTTAACATGCAGCAATAGATAAAATATTTACCTTTCAAATGGTATATAATATTAAAGGATCAAATGTACATCCATTAAGTTTTATTTGCTACAAAATGCCTAATTTTTCACTTTTTGATAGGCATGAGTGATATTTCTGCTTATCTCTGTTATCTATGTCTCTGGTGTTTGCGTCTGGCGCAGAGCGAAAGTAAAAGGAAGTGTTCATTTTGTTGTGTTTTCTTCGGCGCCCCGCGGAGCAAAGATACGACATGGCAGAAATCAACCATCATAACAGACTGATTCTGTCAAACTCAATGATATGTTATAAGTACTCGGGAGTCAAGAAAAGGAAAATTTGAATTTGTAAAAAATAAAGATTAATCTATTTAACAGACTCACAATCAAAAGCAAAAAGTAAATGTAATGGAAATTGGACCAAGAAAAGTTCAGGATAGTGCTAACGATATATTCAACTTAGTGTATAATAGAATTGATAATGTAATTTAATATTTTAAATAAATAGAGGATATGTGCTTGTATTGCATGTAAGACTCAAATATATTTCACAGAGAGAAAACTAGATGTAATATGTAGCAAATCATGACGTCACGTTGCTCTTCTGTAAAATTTCAAGAAGTTGCACTTTTAAAATAATATCAAATACAAGTTCACCGTTTATTGAAAAGCATGTAATTATATTTTATATAAAATAGCTAGTTATAGTTTTATCAAATGAATGGGAAACATAAACATTTTACAGAGATCGCGAAAAGGAGCCTAGCTACTTCCTCTTTTTTTTAAGCTACCTAAGGTTTCATTTAAAACCAGCAAAGAAAGGCGATCACGCATCTTAAAGTAGATGGATTGAGTTTGGTACAATTTCACTTAGGCGTCTATGTGCTTTACATATATGGAATGAATAAAAAAGCATGACATATTAATGTAATTTCTATAGCTTTTGCTAAATATTTAACGGAGTCATTCATTCCCGAATAATGTCTGCTGTAAAAACATTAATTTTAAAATTCAACGACTAAAAAGATCCAAATGCAATTTGTGATATCTCTATTAAAACAATAAGCCGAGCACTAGATAAGCTGCGAGTAATGAATTTCACTAAGCTAATGATTTTCTTCCCCGGACAATTATATAAAAAGATCTGCAGAGATTTTCCGGATTACGACCGAATTATGCTGAAAAATTCGCTATGTTATCACTTTTGAAACTAGCAAACATAGAAAGACGACGTCTGCATGATTTATATCAAGGAATATGGAATTAAGACACTGTATATGAACCTTTTTTCGAGATTTATTTTGAATAATTTATTGAAATACATGTAATGAGATTGTTGCAAAAGAGCGATAGATAAAATAACGCAAAACTAACACTGTTTCCTTCCACCTACACTACGTTATAGGTGCGGGGAAAAGACAAATGCCTTCCCAGACAAAAGCCCTCCCGTCCAAAATTGCTAGGCAGACTAAAACCTCGCATTGAAATGTTAGGGCGGACAACGGGCCTTCGAGTGAAAATGACAGGCCGGACAGAAATATTTATAATACTGTACGTTTGTAACGTCGCTTTCCTTTGACTAAGAGTTAAGTTTTTCGTTAAATAAATTCATATGAATATTTCTGTATAACTAATAATATAAAAGTCACGATTATCCCATGAAAAGCGACGTTACAAACGTGCAGTATTATATTAGTTATAAAGAATTTTTGACAGGTTATATGGCCGTATATATAATATATATATAAGGTTTGTACATATAACCTAGCCGCTAGGCTTGCCATTTTCACTAGAGGGCGTTTGTCCACTCTGTAGTGTTTGAACGGGTGTTTTTGTCCGGGAGGGCGTTTGTCCTAAACTCTATGTGTGCAAAATAAGTTTCCAAATCGTCTCCGCAACAAACTAAACTCGTCTCAATCAAAACCTGCGGTTGATATACTGTTCAGATTCTATCTCACATGTTAGCATAAAATAAAGCACTTTGTAACACAAATATGTTTAGGATTGGTTATACCTGTACTGTATAATAACAAGCAAACAGTAGCTATATACATGCACTCTTTTTGCTCAGGTGTGTATCAGTATTTCGATTCACTTTACACTGATTTTTTAGGATGGACATTGAAATTTTGTAATAAAAACATGATATGTGATTTGCTCATCTGGCCATTTCTTTTATTGTAAAAGTGTAAAAGTCGCCATACAGAAAAGTCATACATGTATGCAGTCTTGGTCACTATTTTTACAACAATCGTTTACAGCTCTTTCAGAAAAAAAGGTGGGGTTAGTGACGAATACATTGAATACAGCAAGACAATGTCTGTCAAATCGAACGTTTTCACTAACAATACCTACTCCGTGACAACAGATATCCGTTATCGAATTATCGATTTTATTTTACATTACCGGAAGCAACGCCGGTAAAATGTAAACAAAGCATTTCTTAGAAGATTTATGTTTTGCTGTGCACGTGAACTGTCTTAATTAGGGCAGCATGAAGAGGGCAAGGTAATTACAGGTTTATCTGTTATATAATTTGTTTAACGTTGTTCCGAAAAGTAAATAGTTTGATGGGCGTAGATCTACCACATTATTAAACTGTTCAATAATATAATATACAGGTATCTGACAGGTATAGCTACATGTAATTGTACTCTGGCAAATTCTGAAAATGAAAAATGATTAAAAATTTAATTGGTTGTAGAAATCTAGGACATAAGTGACCACTGTCAGTCCTGTGTCAGGTAACTGTCAGTCCTGTGTCAGGTAAATTATCATAAAAAAGAAGTACGATATAATAATTGTGTGTGTTTATGTACTATCTGATTCATGTAGTATAAGGTTATTACACGTTTGAGTGCAATACTGAATTCTATTTGACGAGTACCCATATGTCGAACCTGTATTGGACGAGGCCAAGTCTGATTTAGGTTTTGCAGTTGTGTACGAGTTCAGTAGAAACAATATTGTTCTCAACATTGAATAATATTGATGACCTCTTTATTTCATACAACCATTTTTGGCTTTTTGATACCTCGTTACTTCAAATACAATAAAGATTTGATATGGATTTTTGGACTCAGAATATGAAAACGAGACTAGATGGAGTATGGTATGCATTTGATATAGATTTATTTTAATTTGGAATTGAAAACGAGGCTATATAAGGCTACATGTATATGCATTTGATATGAATTTGTTGGACATCGGAAATCAAAAAGGGGGCTAAGCTAATAAGACTGGATCCAACAATAATTTTTAGTGCAAGCACTGAATAGTCAATGGATGTGAAAGTAATAGAAAGGGCAAAAATAAAACACGTTCCCTGTTGTCACAATATGAAACCCCAGAAAAAAGTACCGTATGAACGAGCATCTGAATATGATAATTCTTTGTTATCCCTTTCTCTGTCGTCACAATAAGTAAACCCCAGGCAACATGAGCCATCAATGGGAAGGCTCTGGAGTTCTCGTAAGTAATACCTGCACTCCAGTTATTGCACTGTGCATGTATATATTTACGATTTAACTCTGATACATTTACAACAGAAAGGTCCCCTAACTATAATACATACATACATGTACTTGTACCAACATTTATAAATTGTACATCACGTTAAATACCCTGTCATATAATGGTGGTGTTCTCAGGGTGATCAAGAAAAAAATAAAAACATGACGCTTAGCTTAGCGCAGTACGATCACATCACTGACATGCATTGCAGTGTTATTGCCAGTAGGGATTGGGCATGCCTTAAACATACGCCAGCACTAAAGCGTTCTGATAAGCGTTCGGGACCATTGAATGGACGGACGCCAGAGTGACGCATTATGATCTTCTACGACGTCACATGTATAAACTCCACAAAAGCGCTTAAAGGTTGCAGTGCGAATTATGATGTTAGCTGCTGCGCTTGCAAGGAGACTACGAGATGTAACCGTGCCTTTTCGCGTTCATAATGCTTTGAAATCGCAGTGTGTGCTCAGTCAAAGCTTTAAATTGCTTAGAACGCAATGGACAATCCCCAACTAAAACTCCGCAGAAAATGTTCCTTATTTTCTCAAAAAATATCCTAGATATAGATATATAGACAAACTAGAAAATTGAGCCGCGTCACGACAAAACCAACATAATGGGTTTGCGACCAGCATGGATCCAGACCAGCCTGCGCATCCGTGCAGTCTGATCAAGATCCATGCTGTTCGCTTACAAACTATAACAAGTAGAGAAACTGATAGCGAACAGCATGGATCCTGATCAGACTGCGCGGATGCGGATGGGTCGCAACCCCATTATGTTGGTTTTGTCGTGACGCGGCTCAGATGCTTGTATACTATCAAGGGCAGGTAATACTTACAATCACATCCATACTAGCCATAGTAACCAACGCTGTGAAAATAAGTGGAGCGTGCAAAAATTTAAGAATTGAATAATTTTCCATCCAGTTTTCTTACAAGATTTCTTGAAAAAAGGGCATATCTTTTAAAAGGAACATTGTATGTCAGAAATGCTTTTATTTTTATGTTTCAAAAGCTTTTTAATATTGGTGTACTTTGATAGAATCCAAAAATTACTCATTGGCAAATTTACCTGAACCACCTTTTACATCTGGGTACAGTTATAGTCAGTTAATATTTTGTATGGTCAAAATACTATTTTGTTTACATTTTGCTACTTTTATACAAATTAAAATTCATATTTGCTCTTTCTAAGGAACTAAAAGTTTGTTTTGAGGCATACTGTGCCTTTTAAAGAATTTTTGGTCTTCATACTTAAACTGAATAAAATAACATTATAAATATTCAGTAGAATTCCATGAAAATTTGTGTTGTGACCAAGGATAAAATTATAAAATGAAAAATGAAACCATACATTAAAAAGGTTTGTCAAAGATAACAAAAACAATCAAACTCAAAGGCCGGTTACTCGAATATGAGGTCGATTTTTTCGCTTACAATGTTTCTGTCATTATATCTGAATAAAATGTAATGTTTCAGGATCAGATTTTCCTAATACTCGATCCCTAAAGCCGACTCAAATCGCAACAATGGTACATAAAAACGTCTGTTTACCGGAGCGGAGTCTTTCTTTTTTTTAACCGTTCTTTTGAGGTCGGTTATTACTTTAACTTTATGAAACCTTATTAATGGACGCATACATTTGGATTCATTATATCTTTATACATGAAATGATAATGAAAATGATATGTTTACAGGGTATCAAACTTGGCAAACGCGGAGTATTTGAGCCCGGATGACATACGCTACTCTCAGGATACCATCTCTGCTACGTTCTCTAATGGGAAGCCAATAGGAAAAACCCTAGATGCCCTTGTCAGGATGGAAACATTTGTTCCAGAAATACCACCCATTTGCGTAGCCAAAGAAAATGGAACGTTTTATACAAGGTGTGTAGTTGAATTTTATGGGGTTTTTTTTGTTTTGTTTTTTTTTCAAGATAAGAATGTCGGTTTATTTTCCATGAGCCGAAAGTCAATCATCCAAACTTACTTGATATTATCTCAAAATGAAAAAAGATGATGTTTATTACTTATACCGATTTTCCAGCGTGATTGTTCTGAGGTTCAATTAAAAGTGTTTTTTTTTTTGAAGCTCACATTTAATCTGACAAAAACAAAATAGTTTGAGGTCGATGGTCAAGAATGTAAAGGAAGTAAATGTTTGAAGTCAAGGGCTGAAAGGTCAAGATCAAATTTACTGTGTATGTAAAAACTGCTTCCCACCAATAACTTGACAACCCATGGGCCCTCAAACTTCACAGGTGCATTGATCTTGGCCAGCACACGGACCCTATTGCTTTTGGGGTCGTAGGATCAAAGGCCAAGTAGTCACAACAGATTCCGACCTATAACACGACAACCCATTAGCCATTGACCCTCAGATTTTAAAAGTTCATTGTTCTTGGGCAGTAGATGACCGCTTTGAGTTTTGAGTTGCAGGCTTAAGGTCAAGGTCACATTGCCATTGTATGTCAAAACGGTTTCCGACCAATAAGTAACTCGACAACACATGAGGCCTCGGCCTTCAGATTTCACAGATGAATTGACCTTGGCTAGTAAATGTGCTATTGATTTTGGTGTCGCAGGGTCAAAGTTCAAGATCACCTTGATCTTGTATGACAAAACAGTATCGACCAATAACTCGTAAATCAATTGACCCTTAGTCTCAAACTTCATATACGCATTGGTCTTGGACGGTCTTTGGTTTTTGGGTTGAAGGTTTAAAGGTCAAGGTCACATTGACCTTGTATGCCAAAACGGTTTCCAAGCAGTAGTGCATGGAACTTCCGGCATGTTGACGGTGGACATGCATGTTTTACAAATATCTATTGTTTCATTTAGGTTTTTAACAAAGGATGTTTTTACATAAACAACGGCAAATGAGAAATTGTTCATGGCAGATAATTTTTAAAAACGTTTCTAATTTTCTAGTGTGGTCACAAATAACATTTCGAATCTTCAGTCGAGTCTGACATTTGTCAAGTCATGCTGGTGGCAATGATTCAATCATTATTAACACATGTATTTTGTTAAAGAAGTATGTTTCTGTTGAAGAGGGCGGTGATGATATTTTGTAAGATTATTGTTATTTTTCATATTTATTGAAAAGATAAAGTTCTTCTGTTGTCCTAAAGATAATCAGTCCTATGCAGTATCAGTCTACCTTTATAAATGCTTACATTTTTTTCAGGAATAATCGCCGGCTCTGGGTTTACAAACAGCTAGCTTCAATGAACCGATGTCATTTCATCCCTTGTTTCAAAGCACCTTACGTCCCTAGAGGACAGTTCACTACAGTGATAGGAGGACATGAGATAATCGTGCGTGGTGATCCCCAGAGTGAGACCTTAGAAGAGTTTAATACCCATAAACGAAGGGAAATGCTTAAGAGAATCCGCAGCAGACAGATTTCAGACCATACACCACGTGGTCATTTTACCCCAAGGTTTGAATTCATGCGTGATCAGAAAAGGCGAAAAGTGACGGCAAGGAGAAAGCTAAAGCATAAATCTGAAGACAAAAAGGAAAAGGGAACGTTAAAAGAGCAAAATAACGAAGTTAATGACATTATAAAACCAAGCAATAAACAAGATGATACCGATGAGATTCAACCTGCAAAAGCTCGGAAGATAAAGGATGATGATAAGTCTTCTCGGGATAGGGAATCGGATGAAAAAACACAATGCAATAAAGAAAACGACATACCTCTAAAACACACGACAAATACTACAGATAAAAAAGCTGTAGCCAAGGAATTTGACTCTAAAAAACATTTATCTGCGAAGGTGGAAACAAACTTTACAGTGTGCAAAGATTTAGAAAATAAGGAAGGTAGGGATAATGTAGTAATTGATCTTACTGATGATGACGACCAGGATAATGCTTGTACAATAGATGTTAAATTGCATGATAAGGATAAGGAAAATACAAAATGTAGTAGTGATTTGTTCAAATTTTCGGCCAAAAGCAATGCAAGTTCTTTGCCTGTCAGAATATCAGCTAACTTTAAGTCTCACAAAATCAAAAAAGAAAGAGGCCGCAGCTATGCCAGTGGGTCCCGGAACAGACCAAGACAGTTACAGCAATGTAGGGAAGTTGGTAGGGGAAATCCTTCTGCACATTATACTGCCCCACAATTTTCTAACAACCAAATTTCAAATTATCACTCAAATAAATTTGATCAGCCACAGCAAGTTAATATCATTCCGGCACGGCATGATTCGCAACGCGAATACTTGCAAAATTACGATCAAAATCGCTTTAATAGACCTGAATACACCCTATCTGACAGGTATTTAGTGGTACCATACCAACCACTCGCTGTACCTGTAATCTACGGCCAAAATCAAAAACCTGTAATTTACGGCCAGAATCAAAATCCTGTAATTTACGGCCAGAATCAAAATGTAAGTGCCTCGCACGATTTCCAAATGTTTGGTGATTATAGACATTGACCAAAACTTTGCAGTGTTGTTCTTTCTAAATGACATCATGATTTCACACTTTTACAAACGTAGCAGGCTGGCAAAACAGTCAAAATGCCTTATATAAGTTCCACTTTGTTGTATTACATATATTATATACGCTTACCACAGATAAATACGGATTCGTTAAAGGAACCCCATCACGATCGCACGAAATGAAGACCCTAAAACGTTTCCGTAGATGTACACTTTCTGAAATATTCTACATCTCATTCTGTAATGTTTCTGTTTTGGGGAGACAAATTAAATGTGTTTTACATTAAGAACAATCAATTTAAGGTTGAAAAAATTAGAACAGAAAATCAGAAATATTTAGTTTTATCTCTTTCATCTATGTTAACATTTTCTCATATCTAGAGTCCATTTTGAGCTTCCATAGTTTCGGAAAAAAAGTTTATACAAATTATAAGACTCTTCTATCAAAGGAAAATTTCTTTGAAATACATCTTTCGGGATAAGTATTCTTTATTGATATTATAATCACATATTTTAAATTGGTAAATTCAGTTAAATAACAAGATGCTTTTGCATTTATTTTTCAACGTTTGAACAGGATTTCGTATGGTGGGTTTGGATTTTGAATCTCCGTCAGGGGCAAGCCGTTGTTTCTTTACACTCTTGTGATTGATTGTACTGTTTGTATCCCGGAACGGATTTAGGAATATTCTATTCTACACAACCAAACTAAAATAAACTATAAAACTAAGAATGATTTTGATTTAATACTGCTTATGTTGACGTTTCAGTAAGACTGTTTTAAGATCCAAGGGACATGCACATAGTTTAAGAGGTGTAACATTTAAAAGGGATAAGGTATTGATTGGTGGATTCTCAAATAAAGGCTCGGTTGTTGTTTTACATTAATTTGTGACCTTTACCATTACCTGGCATAGCTGCGCTATAATATAACTGCAATGTTTTTTTTTTCTTGTTAATCTTTCAAACAATTCCAATAAAATATTTGTGTCCGTCTGTCTGTATGTGTTTTTGTATATGTGTATTAATTTTTTTTATACAATCATTGTAATATTTATTGTGATACCAACATATTTCTTGTACATGACCAGTGTTTTCAATGATTTTGATAATATTTTACGTGATATTGTTAAATCGTTTAAATGCATGTTTCAGATTAAGAAATGATTCAACTTTTCTCTCATGATCTTCAAATAAGTGAATTTAGAATGTACACTGGGGGTTGTTCAAAAATTTAAAAGACTAGACTTTTTACTGCAAAGCACAATACACTACACACAATCTTGGACATTTATGTATCATTTTATGTATATTTTTCTTTATTTCATGCTTTCCAGTGTTTCATTGTAATATATCAGATGATTATATTCTGATAAACCACTAGTGAAATTTATAAAATATAATTTTCACTGTAGCCGGACTATATCTGAATGCGGATGAAAAGAAAATTAAACTAAATGGAATAACAGGCAGAAATAAATGCCGTCATACGTAAATTTTGCTTCTTTAGGAAAAATAAGTCGATGTCACCATACATCATGTTAAACATGTAACAAAATTAGAGAAATTTAACAGAACTATATTTCAAAATTGATGATGTGACGTCATGATGTGATGACGTCACAAAGGAGACTGCGCGACGTTACGCGGCAAAATCAGTAAAAAAATACTTAAAATCACTTAAAAAGCATGAAATAAAAAGAAAATTTATTTGCTTTACATATAAGATTGAAATATATTTCATTCGTGAACACCAGCTATTATATTTTCACTCGTGGCTACGCCACTCGTAAAAATATTGCATCTGGTGTTCACTCAGTGAAATTATATTTCAATCTTACATGAAAAACAAACAAATATCCTCTATGTATTTTTTAAAACGCACATAAAATTAGTATCTGCCAATTTCACAACGTTTAAAACGTCACGCTTCTAGATGGGATGTACGCTTATGTCTTCTACATACGTATTGATAACGCAAATATTAATATTTCAATAAAGATTCAGGATCAATGACAAAATTTATTTATAAATGTATATTTCAATATTTTACAATCCAAGGAAAAATGAACGACGCCCTATGGTATTTGGCATATCTCCGCTCGACTGAAATGGAAAAAAACGACATTTGCTAATTTTACATCCATAGCTTAATTTACAGTATGGTGCAAAACCGGTGTTCATGTATATAGATGTATAACTGTCAATGTAAACTCCACATTGTATAACTTTCTATGATAATGCAATTGAAATCTAAACGTGTATCCATTTAAATCTCATCGGTTCCTTATTCTGATGAAGACTTTTAACTAAAATGTGTAATTTATAAGAAACAAATGAGCTTACATAGTGAGCATTAAACATGGTGGCGGCCTCGCATCCTGCTGGTGGAACATTTAAGTTTTCTGGGGCACTGAGTCCGCCGGTAACGTTCAATACATGAATGTTTTGAAGAAATGGACCTGAAATTCAAAATTAAAATAGTTATAGAAAATTCCGAAAATCATTTTAGGTATTTGATATATTTATACTGTTCATATTTATTACAATTTTCTCGCTCAGGATTTGTGATTGTATTGTTCTACATTTGAATATTTCTTAGGATAAACTGTAGAATTTACCAGCTAGCAATATTGATTAAAGATAGAAATTGATTTTCAGCGTTGTTTTTAACTTCGACCTAGCATTCAGATCGACGTTGCATGAAATGAAGACATATTTCTATAGCTTGCTTATTATAGCAATGTGGTATTGATGAACACTTTAACGGACGGACAGACGATCGACAGTACTGGCCATGTACAATAGTTCACGTTGATCATGCTGTGTTCATGTGAGCTAAACACTAAACTATTATATATATAAAATAATCAAATAATCAAAGTATATACAGGATACATATACCACTACTGTTTATATTTCCTAAAGATTAACTTGATAACAAATCGCTAGAGTCATTCATTGTTTTTAGATATATACCACTTCACAGTGCAGTTTGCTCATAATGCAAAATGGTTAAGAAAATAAAGCATCATGAAAGCAAAATAAATTATTCTGCTTTCCATTTACCTGCTCAATTCGTGTAATGGAATTATTAATCTTTAAATTTTGAACAGAACATTTGAAATTTAAGGGATTTAGATATGATAATGTAAAGAAACTGAGCTATAATCTATAGAGCCTGGCCAGACTGCACGGATGTGCAGGATTGAGTTAGATGTATGTATACGCGTGACAAAAGATATTCACTTCCGGTTCAAACAGGCGCCTGTCGCGGATGAGTTCCGCATTTAATGACCTTATTATTAATCGAAAAAACAAGATGTATTTATCTATTATTGAAAGGATGTCTTACTGTTATCAAGAGTTCCTCGGATTGTCTCTAGCACTGGTACACAGCTATCTGATGTTACAGAAATGTAAGCGGCAACTGCCCCGTAATCCAAGCGGAATGTGTCAACTGTCATCGAATTGTCTCCCAAACCTACAACATCTTTACTACCGACCTTTGTTGAATTGTCTGTAATACATAATATGGCATAATATGTTAACATATAAACACTATAAAATGTAAAAACATACACTTAACAAAAGTGCTAAGTGAGTGCCTATTTTTTGGAAACAAATTTATAGATAAAAAAAATATAAACAATTCTTTTTTATTTATTGTTTCTAGATTTGTGTGCTTTTAATAATAAACCTGACAGTCTTTTTGAGATATCAAAGATTTACGATTAGAATAATGGTATAACTTAATATCTATTTGGTTTTTAAATTTATTGTTTATTTCATACGATCGCCATGTCCTCTTGACAGATCTAATTGTCTGGACAAAAGACATAAAAAGTATCTGAAATATTATTTCACATTCTTGCGATTTCTGCACGGAGCTATTGCCTGTCCATAGATATATTTCCCTGTATTTTATGCATACAATTTTATCACATTTTCACTATGAGCAAGGTATGTAAATAGCCGCGGAAAAAAGTATTTGAAGAAATTCTCTGAAAACACGGACATAACTGCCTGTCCTGAAAGATGATGGTACCAACTATCACGGGTAGTTAACGCGTGTGATAAGTAACCTTATTCCGCGTTGGTTGGGGCGACATGTTGTTTCCTTGAGCGAGAAACTTTATACTAATTGCTCATTACTGGTTGGTTCCAGGAATAGATTCGAGAGTGAGTCTATAAGCTTAAAGCTCCCTACACAATCAAACTAAAATGAAGTCTGTATAAACCAAATGTTACACTGCCTGTGCTTTAGACAAGATGACTGGTCAAATTTGCGAGTAACTATGGACCATTAGGAAGTACATTTTCTTGCATATTGTCACCGTAAGTTCGTTACATACCTGGGATACAACCTCCGAAGTCTTGTGCCCTCCTATTTAGAGCTTGTTTGTAACATTTTCCTTGATCATTGATTATGTACTTCATGTTCTGGAGCAAAATAAAAATCAAATAAATATATGTAATTTATGTACACTAGCCCTTAACCTGCCGACAACAAAAGTTATAAGCCTTGCTGACCAGGGTTTATATGATGCTGGTTGGAAAATGTCAATGTTTTATCTTGATATCCCTAAAATTTGAGAATGGACAGTTCCAATTTTGTCACATTTACCAGACACAGAATTATACCTGCATTTCATAAACGGAATAAACAATTCCTTGTGATTGTATATTTTTTTTATTTAAAAGTTAGATCCGGATATGCGGCGTTTTAGGCGTACTGGCCTTTTTCACAAACTTCACGCCAAAGAAAACTGTTTTTGTCGAAAAATGTCTTTTTGAGACAGAAACAAAGAAAGCAAATGAAAGCAACTTATTTTACAAAATGTTTACAATTTCAGGCAAATTCAGGCTTATAGGAGTTTGGAGCGCACCTCGCTTAGAATATATAAAATCCTTCACTATAAAGAAACATGCATATTTATTTGTGGACAGTATCATTCTTACAAAATGTCTTACCGTGTTATAATCTAAGAGAGCCCCTAATCTTCTTTGTGGTTTGCCTCCCATAGAGATGTATTCATATTGTCCAATCTTTTTGTTTACAGCGTCATAAGCCATCGAAACATAGCCCTGAAATAAATAAACATGATACTGCGTGAAAACGGCTGACACCCATTTCTCACTTAAGATCTTTCTGTTATCATAATCTAGGATCATGCAACGTATAAATGAGCCGCGTCACGACAAAACCAACGTAATGGGTTTGCGACCAGCATGAGTCCAGACCAGCCTGCGCATCCGCGCAGTCTGATCAGGATCCATGCTGTTCGCTATCAGTTTTTCTACTTGTAATAGGGTTTGTAGGCGAACAGCATGGATCCTGATCAGACTACGCGGATGCGCAGGCTCGTCTGGATCCATGCTGGTCGCAAACCCATTATGTTGGACGGTTTTGTAATGACGCGTCTCAAATGATGTTTACACATTTTTCATTCTGTTATATGGTCCATATGTAGCACGCGCCTTAAAAAAACATGACAATGGTGATAAATTGAGGATTTTGAAACATCCGCAGATGTGTTCCGTGAAACACTTCACTAATATTGTTGTACTATTGCACATACAGCTGCTTAAAGAATTTATGTCCTTTCAACAAGGAAGCAATGGGCGGAATTAAAAAAAAATGAATTCAAAGGCGGGGGCATAGGCTGTGAAACCTGCAGGAGTTTAAATTTATAACGCAAATAAATTATATTAAAGAAAAATATTGATGAGAGACTGTCTTACTTATACAAAAGTAGCAGAACCTAATTTTCTCTATCAATATTTTTTTAGTGTAACTTATCATTTCCTAATGTTATAGAAATAAAATTGTTAAAACCAACTCAGGATTTTTGTTCTTGTTGTCAAATTTTTAAATTTCGGGTGTTGCTTTCAAACAAGACTCTGATTTCATTTCTTTTTCTTTGTTTTTGTGTGACTTTTAATACTTATAATTTCAGGAACACCACTTTGTTTATTTTGCTATGCATCTTTACAAATTTTATGTGAATGGGAATTCTATTACAAATCTTAACTGTACAAGACAAAACATATACATATCTCAAATCTAATGACATATTCGAAAAATAGATATCGACAGGCAATTCAAAAACAGGGTAATACCGCATGCGAAAATTAAAAACGACTCTAAGTTCTAAGAACGAGTGTTATTTGGTTCTTTTAAATTTGTTTTTTGACATTGCATTTAATATTCTAAAAATAGAATAAATAAAAGTACAAACTTAACAGCAAGATCTTTTAAAGATGGACATCACTTTAATGCCCAATACAGAATAATCTGAAGTGTTTTGAGTCGCTGAGTGAAATGCATGTATACTATATCTTGGTTACCGTTCTTTAGATTGAAAGCGTGACAAAGTACAACAAACAGCGTAAAAATTGCTTCTTAGTTACTGACTTATGTCCGCAGTTTTTAGATTGTCTAACTAATATTTTGGAAAAAATAAAGAACACGGCGTAAGGTAAAGGGAATTCTTTTCGATGAAAATGGCGCCAAAAGTGAGATTTGAGAAGTGAGATTTCAGATATTTTTAACAATATCTTTGCACTCTTGGAATTATTTAAAAAGATAACACTTCATCTATTGAGATATAAAAGCACATTATGTCTCAGAAATTCAAATCGTTTTTGATCCTTTAGAAATGCCAAACAAAATGTTTTAATAATTTATATAGAGCATGTTAGATGTTCAACAACTGAAGAAATTAACATTGCACCTGTAATTATATGTTGTAAAGGTAGCAAAATAAAACAAAGTAATATGTTGACGTCCATATAAAATACTTATTCACTATAATTTACCTATCTCCAACATAGCAAAATAAGTAAACTATATCTTGATAATAATTATAAAACGTTTTGAGAAATAAAAATGGTAGCATGTCTGTTTAAAAGCCACTTTGATAAATTTATACATGAAAATAAACTTGCGTGTACAATTTGTAGTAAAACCGTTTTTGCGAAAATTGAATTGAAATAAAATATTAATAAAAACTTACTGTTGATACAATAGGTTTTCCATTATGTACGATGGTTGTCACAAAGGAAGTTGTACCCTCCCATTGAGGTGGTACACAACAAATAGAGGCGGCCGCAGCACCGATACACGCAAGAAGAGCTACAATAGAATACATGTTTACTTCTAGAGGTCAAACACAGAATGAATTCACAACGATATTTTTCATCATAGCCTTTGCCGACCTAATTATACCTTTTTACACCGCAGATAACATACGATAATAAATAGGTCATTTGGAATTTGTCAAAGAATGGGTGTGTCATAAGTTTTGGTACAGATTACGCTTTTACAACATCATAATATGGACGTTACTATCAAATCATGGAATATTATTTTGTAAGAAACATCCAAATTGAAATTTATTTTTTTAAAGTATGAAAGCAGATTTGTTTGAATGATAGTAACTTTTAAAAAGAGACTTTGAATGGTGATTGTCCGGGTTTATTTTTACTAATTGGCGGATTGTAATCTTTTTTTACTTTTGTATCAACCCTCGTCTTAAATTGCGCCCTTTAAGGTACCCCTCCATTATATCTAATAAGATAGTTGACCATCTGACATGGTGTATGATAAGAGATGATAGTTCACATAGTTTGACACTGATAAAGTACTCACAGATGGCACTGTGTCATTTAATATTAACTAATACCGAATGACTTTAGAGTAAATTGTTGCTAAATACGCGATAAGTTGATGTTTAAGTAGTTAAGACCACATTGCACAATGTTATTGGCCAAAGATAGGAAAAACAAAAAAACGTACATACTTCCAATTTCAAAATGTCTTTAAAACATAATTATTTCTGTATTCATTTTAATAAAAATGCATATTGAAAAGTCGGTTTTCTTTGGGTGATACCAATATGTGAATATCTGGTGTGAGTTGTAGAAATTAAGTTTCTTTTGTTTTAAAACGGGAAGTGATCTTAATTAATAATTTACCCAGTAAATTTGTTATAAAGATTGTGGCCGTGTTGTTTGTACCAGAGATAGGGGCCATTTATTTCAAATGTGTGTCCAAAAGTATAATTAGTCTCATTTGAAAGCAAAATGTGTACAGATTCCAAAAATCCATTTCTTAAAAAAGTCCTCTTTTACAATCACCGGAAATCCAAGATGGCCGCCAAGATGGCCGCCAAATTTAAAGAAATCACCCTGTATAATAAAAAATATATTTCTGAGTGTATCTTTTGATATCTAATATTGTTTTATTACTGCAAATGATAGGATGTATATTATTTTACATGAATTTAATTCTTTTAAAATAAATATGTATCTTTCTAGGAGGAAATGTGCCTAAAACCAACAAAAATATGCTAAAATTAATGAGTTTTTGTGTTGAAAACGGTTTTTAAATCCATCAGAATGAGTTTTTATATGCAAATTTTATCATTTTGTGTATTGCAATACAATCCAATCCTCGCCCAGTGGATCCGGTTATATAAGCTGTATTTTTATGTTGTTCTTTCTGTTGTTTCGTTTTCTCAAAGTTATCGTTATACGTCTTGTATTAGAATACGTTTTGGTTTATCAAATCTACGTTTCTAATTTGCCAACGTCTTTATCAATAAGTTTTGACCATATATCGGGACGTTTGAAAACACTGGCGGTCATCAAAATAGAGAACGGATGGTGAAGTAGAAGTTCCGACTTCTTATGATTTTACGTTCGAAACCATACAGTGGCGATGTTTTCTTTATAATGCAACAACGCAAAATGCCTATAAAACTCTTATTATATGTGAAGATTTAAGCTAATAATGTCGTATGTACAGTGTTCTTGCTTTTAAATGTGCATACTTATATAAAATGTTTATATAACAAGTTCATTCATTCATTCATTCATTCATTCATTCATTCATTCATCCATCCACTCATCCATTTATGTATGTATGTACATGTTTTATTTTTGTACGAGGCAACAAGTGAAATAAACTATTCGCAAGTTATATACAAGGTTAATCTATAACTTAAAGATATAAAATGTGCTTACATATACACCGTAGGCGTTTTGCCCACTTCCAAAAGGCGTCATGCCCCGGGCACGGGGCAAGTTGATGCCCCGGGCACGGGGCAAGTTGACCGATAATTTATATGAAAAAGGATGGTATTTGAACTACCGTTTTGTCTTAAATTTGGCTATGTAAATATATGCTTCAAATAAAAATTTCCCTTTAGACAGGGTATATATTTTTGTAGATTCATCGTAAAAACATTCTTAAGGTATACGTATTTGCCCCATGATACTTAACGTAAAAATGAAGCTCTCATCAAGCTCAAATATGAAAATAACGGCCTTTAAAATGACTAAAGGGTTGAGCTTTTCGTAGAGAACCAACAAGCAAGATAGCAAACAAGCATGCATACATTCAAACAAACAAACAAACAAGCAAACAAACAAGAGCATGTCTCACGGCCCAAAGATGCGTCAGATGAGACAAGGGAGCGCCTTAGAAGCTGCTATGGGGACGGGCGGGGGTATGAACAAATTTACAGATAGTGTCCAGTCTTTTAAAAGTCATATACAAATTCTCAGAGAGAATGATTGTTTATCTGCCCTTTGCAGAGCCTCTTTGGATAGATAAATTTTAGATAAAAATCTGACTACATTTATTTAGACTCGTCTATCTTTAACGGGTGCTGAGTAAGTTTGTTTCCCATAATTTATCATTTATTTCCTACAGGACGTTTGAAATAATCATCAAATAATCACTATTGGCTAAAATTTGCATTACTTTTCAAACTTACTTTGAAAGAAACGGTTGTTAAATCGAGGTTAGTATTTTTTTTACGTTTTTTTTTCTTTTTTTTTCATTTCCGTAAGAATTATATTATTTTTATTTTTTATTGCTTATTGTAGTGTTTTGTCATTTATATTTTTTGGAGTTCATATCCAATAAATGTTTGATTTTCATTTAAATTAATATTAAAGTTTAAAAGTGTAATTCAACTGAGTTTGAAAATACTAGTTCTACAGAGAGAAAACATTATTTTATTCGTTCGTTTCATAGGAACTTAAAATATTAAAACATGTTTGATGTCATATTTAGTTATTTTTACTAGATCTACGACAATTCGAAAAATCAGATATGTTTTATCTGTTTCATTTGAATGGAAGATAGTTATTATTTTTAATTCTTGCATTACTTAAAAATCCATTTCTATGTCATCTTGAAATTAATTAATTAATTGATTAATAAATAAAACTTGTAAGAAAATGTTTGTACAATAAATATACAATGTGTTATCATTTATTGCAGTTCAATAATGTTCGTATTTTTCGCTGCTATTTTGTCGTCTGCCGCCGCAGCTGATATATGCTGCTCCCCCGACCAGTGGCAAGCTGATGTTGGTTTGGTCATGGGTCGCGTTAGCAACGGAAAGACGTCATTTATTGAGGTATTTTATATAATTTTTCTAAGTATCTAATTAATAATATATCTAAATCACGTGATTATGTGAATAACAATAACTATCCATTTTGTCGAACATTTCGATAAACACGGTTACCCTCACAAAATGATTTTTCAAATTCCAATATTTTTATGATTGTTTATTTTAAAAAAATATGTTAGACGGAAAACTCGGTTTTCAAATATTTTGAATCTCGATTTTTTAGCCGCCTCGAAATTCAACTATGGATTGAAACTTGTGTTAAAAAATTCTGAATTTCGATTTTCGAATTGGCTTGAAATTCAACGTAATATCGATATTAATGAATATCGATTTTCGACCTGGCTCGAAGTTCAGCGCTGGCTCGGAATTTTCTTTATATTGAATTTCAGTTTTCGATGTCATTGCTAAACTACTGAAATATATAAATACATGTATTTTACAGAAAATGTCAAGGATAAAAACTCAGTGAATTAAATACTGACAAATATACCGACTACTATAAAATTTCCATTAGTTTACTCATAATGCATAACTTCATTTAAAAATATATTGAAATTCATCACATATTTCTTGCTGTTTACAAAATGTGCAGATTCTATTTGTCAATTGTCTTTCACCTCTGATTCAAAACCATACGGAATTAGTAATATGTCTTTTGCAGAAATATTCGTTATAACTGGTAAGTTAGCCAGGAAGGCCGGATAGATGAACGGACCACCAAGAAATAACCAAAATTTGTTGAAATCGTCGTAACCCCCTCCAAACAAATAATTAAACTAATATTTTGTTTTTCAACAATCATATATTCTGTAAGCAAGGTAAAATTGATACACTATTTGTCTTATAGGGTATGATGCATACATCTTATGACGCAGTTAACAAGATTGTTGCCTACGACCAAGAATTAAGCGTCGACGGTTTTCAATTGAAACAGAGGATTGTAAGCGATTATAAAAATGTAAGAAAAACCTTTATATACAATTCATGCTTTTATATTAATTGTAGACAAAGTGAAATGTTCAGTTTTGATGCCAGACGTTTAATACCCGGATGAAAGCAAGTACCCGGATGACAGCAAATACCCGGATTATGTTAAATATTCGGATGATATTATATACATTTGTACTTTGATGATATTAAATGCACGGATGACCCATGTCATTAAATACACATGAAATATTAAAAACGTGAATGATGTGACATTAAATAATCGCATTAAAATGGGAATTATTTGCTTACAGAACGTTATGTACAAAGTTAGAGACGGAGTTTGCAACAGAACCAAAATTGACAACTGGGTACCATCATGTATACCAGGTATTATTTATTATTATATTTTTAATCCAAACCTTGTCGAATTTGTGTAATGGATTTGACTTGCTTTTACTTGGAACAGTCCATTATGGCAATTAAGTGATTTCATTACCAAATGACAAATACAAAACTACCAAAAGTATATAGACTGCACGGATGTGCATGCTAGTCCGGCTCTATGCTGGTGGCAAAGGTTAAACGCTGTCAGTTAAAGCAGATTAAGGGTTCATTATATATTGTTGTTTTCATTAAAGTCAGAATATTTAATGTTGATTTATGATGACTCTTCTCTTTAATATTTTTTTCAGAATGTTTATATTTCATCAAATTCTATCGATAGTTTCCACTACTCTTTTACAGTCAATAATTTATATACATAAAATTCTTTTCTAACACACTTTATCCAGGTTTCTTATTCTTTGGAAAAAAAAAAACAGTAAAAATAGCATGTTAATTCTTTCAGAGCTGTTTTCTAGAAATAAATTGTAAATGCTTCACATAAGTAGTCCGGCATACGTCTGTAAAATATGAAATGTGTTGGTCACAAATCCAACCAGTCTTATTTTTTTTCATACATTTTAACAATTTATACAATACATACATAGCTCAAGTAGTTGTACTAGATCTGTATGAATAATTGCTATTTCACTGTAAATTTACGTTTTATTTGTTGCAAATTACAATGTCCATTGTGTAAGAGTGATCGACATATTATGTAAAACTCGCACATAACGTAGTTTTAAATATGTTGACCAATATTTCATAGGAAACGCTACAAAATTGTCGGCAAATTCAAGGTATGGTCTTGGCGGCAACTCTGTAAACGTAAAGGCATACAATATTCAATATGGTGGATATGACGTAAGCATTGCCGTCACTTCCGACACGTGCGTGCCGGTGACAGAGGTCATTACCGGAACTCTGGACCCTGTATTTGCTGGAGACTACACAGGTTAGTTGAGATGAATTCATAACTTTTTCCTTTCCTGAAGGTAACATAAATATCACCATGGACTTAAATTCGTTATGCTGCACATTTCACACGGTTATCATAATAAAAGATCGACATGAGATTGACACCGATTCAACCTCTTATCAGGTCATTCAAAGTAAAACTACTGTAAAACAAAAACTAACGTGCACTACTTGTATACAAGGTAATCTAAACATGTATTGGTTTCATTTGACATGACAACAAAACTAATTAAAAAATTTTTAACTAAAAATACAAAAAAAACAATATACAGTACACATTTAAAATATCATTCTTTATACGGAATTTTTTGTTCAAGCTCAATTTAATTATTTTTCAGTTTGCATGTTTTGTTGATTTTTTTTATTTACTTATGGAAATGATTGAATACATGTATATTGTTCTTGTTCAGTGGAAATGATGCAGGCACTCACATTTGCCAATATCAAGGGTGGAATAGCCAATAGAGATGTATTCTTTGTCCCAGCTCAGTGCGAATCGCAAAACGTACAGGTGTGTTCTTCTCTCTATATATTTATCATTATATTGCAGTCTTACAACGCCGTATATTGTTGTCTGTTTATGCCAGTTTGAAATAAAAAAAAGAAACTAATACTGGCGGGGAAATGGTTCCTACTCAATCTAGCTATTATCATTGGACAACAAACAAGACTATATACATGTAATTTCTCTTTTCGAGCGTACACAAGAGACATGTAAGGAATCAATGTTGAAAAAAACGACTAAAATGAAACATGTTTGTAACTCGGTCTTTTTAGATCGTTGTAATGATACAAAGTATATCAAATTATGATGCAAAAATAACAAGAAAGCTCCATTTTATACCTTTAAAGTTGCATGAATCAAGATAACCAAAATATTTCAAGAAAATCAAATTTTAGTTAATGTACGATTTCAAGATCAGTAAAAAAATAATATTCAAGTAATAATGTACATGTTATTTGCGGTTAATGACTGATTCATCACCTTATTTATACTGCGTGACTAACGCAGTAAAGGCTTCTTTTGCATATTGTGTAAGGGCCGTTTGCAATAAGTAAATTACTTTCTTTGTAAATTTCATCAAATACATGTACATTTTCAAAATGTTCATGTAAATTAGCATGAATCTGGAGGCATACTGCTTTAAGTATGCATTCCGTTGGCGTAAATATGTTTGTACAATTGGCAAACTATATACATATATGTAGTTGATAATGTAACAAAGTTTATATGCATTTATATACATGTGTGAATATTTCTTTATTTTCAGATGCCAGTTGGAAAAAGATCTCTGTTTTATCATCAATAATTCTTTATTCAAAATATGTTTGCAAATAAATGATAAAATTCTAGTTAAATTAGTATGTTATTTTTTCTAGATTTATTAGATCACGCTTGGTAAATGAAAGAGCTACCTCTTTCGGAGTTATACGGTAAATTGCTCTATCGCTACTTCCGAGCTAGTGCATGTCGTCAAGTGTTTTCATTTTTTATATATTTTGTAAACTTTACACTAAATATCGAAATTCGGAGAATGCTATGCCATGAGGATTTAAATAAAGTTTACAGAAAACGTAAAGTTGTTATATTTGTGTTTGAAATGTAATTGTGGCGGTGTTTCCCAGTTAGCGAATTTAGCATTGAAATGGACCGTTTCATCATGAAACAGATTATTTTTCCTCCAATTTTCATGTAAACAGCGATTCAGATTAAAAACAAAAACGTTTCAAGTAGATATAAGGTCAAGAAATAAAATAAGATTGAAAGCAGTAATATGTCGCAACGCCGCTAAATGTCGCACTTGTTGTTAAATATCGCACCATTGCTGCCAAATGTCGCAAAATCTTCTACAGTTAACATACAATATTTTATACCACATGTAATGAGTGTTTATCAGAGCACAAGCATTTCTTTTGCATGTTTTATTATATTTTATGATAGCTGACATAACAAACTAAATACACATATAATACAATAATGTCTGTACACAGAAATACACAACGCACATCTAAAATGTGCATGATAAAATGAGCAGCGTCACGACAAAACCAACGTAATGCGTTTGCGACCAGCATGGATCCAGATCAGCCTGCGCATCCGCGCAGTCTGATCAAAATCCATGCTGTTCGCTATCAGTTTCTCTACTTGTAATAGGGTTTGTATGCGAACAGCATGGATCCTGAGCAGACTGCGCAGATGCTGGTTGTAAACCCATTATGTTGGTTTTGTTATGGCGCGGCTCAAATACACTAGATAAAATAGTCAACAATTATAATAAAAGTTAAACATGCACAAAATATGATATGAATTGCTCTTGCACTGATGTGTGTATTTAACGAAATGGTCAAACGTAATAAAATATGTTCATAACGTAATGAAGAATGCACGAGCGTATAGTCTGATTTTATTGACCTGTCAATTATGAATACATTATAGGACTCATTTAAATATTCGATCCCACTTCGGTTTGGTCCGTGTAGTTTACGAGAATTAATGTGGAGTATATTAGTCATGTTTTGAAAGTCACGCCAGCTTCGTTAATTCCAATAGGACAGTCGGTAAAGAGAATGCCTGATAATTGAGAGGTCTGTGGTTCGATCCTTACTGTTGGCCTTTATTTATTTTTGCAGTATATTTTAAAGGAACAGATTTGTTGTGTGTTTTACGGCATTGAAAAGGCATTTATTGATTTTAATCCGTTTTAATTTTAAATATGAATTCTTAAAGCATGTTATTTAAAAAGAGTATAGACTTTAAAAAATTAAGTAAAACATAAGAAAAAACGAACAACATAAAATAATCATATATAGCTTTAAAAAATTAAGTAAAACATAATAAAACAAAACGAACAACATAAAATAATCATATATAGCTTCAATAAAGTTGAACGTATTAATAAGAAAAAAAACATGGACCAACGCGGTCTCGAACTTAAAACACGTGTGGTACTTAGATTATAAACTCTTGCTTTACCCTATTGCGCTATAACGCTTGGTACACCTTGTTAAAAGATACAAATTAAATTGAATTTCATCGTGAAGCGTACATCACACGGAACTTACCGAAAATTTATATAATGTGTGCATCGACCGTGTAATCAGTATGTAATTGACAGGTTAATAAAACCAAACAATATATGCAATGGAATGTTCACTGTATATAAACATATTTTTATCATTTAGGACCATAACTTAAAGAATTAAGAACATAATTTAATGAAGTATATACGTTATTAAGCGTATGACATTTTTCGTTAATTTTTGGACATTTATCGTTAAAGGAGTTTTGGACATTTATCGGCGATTGAGACATTTATCGTCAATTTTTGGACATTTATCGTCGTTTGGACATTTTTCGACGTTTGGACATATATCGGCGCTACACGCATTCTTATGAAATTTAAACACTTTACAAAGGGATAAATATTTCGAAAACAGGAAAAGAACTTTTGCGCTATCCGTCGACTTATTTTATGGCTTGATTGTGTAAATAAAGATTGTGTAAATCAGAAGACTTTAGAAAATTACAAATTGAAGAATTTTATTTTGTTATATAATGAAGCATTTTCGTCCGTGGTCGAGTGAGTGAAAAAGGTTGTTGACACCCTCACGAGTGAGTTCGAGTTCTGCCAGGGACTTCTGATCCTTTCAAATGAGTATGCTGGATTACAGGATTACTTCTTATTGCTCGATCTCTTGTTTCAAAGTACCATCAACAAATATTGTCGAAAGAAAACTTTCTTGTCCTTTAAATTAGATTCGCTTTTATTGTATAACATGTATTCTAATATATATCATATTGATGGATGACATTTTAACTCATTGATTGCTCACGTCTATTGCGTTTAATATACCAGGGGTGTTCAAATATGAATGCAACTGGGTCAATTTTTAGAAGTGCTTACCAAACAGTGCCAAAATAATTATCCCAATCCTTCAAAATACTCACCGCCATGTGATATACAAAGTTATAGTCTTTTAATCCATTTTTCAAAATGTGTTTTCGTAATCTTTTCGAGGTGTGCACTGTTCAGACACTAGAAAATAGCCGAACCGAGATTTTTCCGTCAGCAAGGTGTTTTTTTTTTACCCTCGGAAATAGGAAAAGTCACAAGGGGCAAGATCTGGCAAATAAGGAGGGTGAGGAAGTTCAGATATTCTCGTACAATGGTCGCGTTGTGTATTAATAACCGACAAGACTATCGCAGTCTTGTGTGTTCTATAATAACATTAAGCTATTGCATAAAATGTGCAAAAAAAGCATTTCAATACCCAGTCTATTAACTGTGCACTAGACTCTAGATCTCGCGGCGGCAGCGTCGTACGCTACACATCGTTGAGAGGTAAACATCCATGCGCAGTAGTTCTGTAAATATTAGACCTATTGGAACTATTTGTAAATGCATAATTGAACCGCGTCACGACAAAACCAACATAATGGGTTTGCGACCAGCATGGATCCAGACCAGCCTGCGCATCCGCGCAGTCTGATCAGGATCCATGCTGTTCGCTTACCAACTCAATTACAAGTAGAGAAACTGATAGCGGACAGCATGGATCCTGATCAGACTGTGCGGATGCGCAGGCTGTTCTGGATCCATGCTGGTCGCAAACGCACTATGTTAGTTTTATAATGACGCGGCTCAATTATGCTGTCACGTATGATGTCAGGTGTCCTGGTTATGGCAAACAGATTAAGGTTTGGAAAATATGATTATAACTATGATAATGAGATCTGACAATCGCCGGCCAAAATGTCATATAACGTATTGAGAAACTTAGAACTAACCTAACCATAACTAAATGGAGAATTTGCAAAACGAAATGTTCGATACACATAACGAAATGTTCTGGCGGAGTTCGCACATATTGTTGATACTCATAAAGTTATGAAATATGCTTATAACGAAATGATCAATATATGTACATGTTAGTGTAATGAAATATGCACAAAGAATGATGAATATAATGATTTTTAATGCACATAACGTGATGAAGTGTACGTCTAATGAACTGATCAACATTCATAATGTAATTCAGTATGTACAGGCCAAGGCGTTCCATATAAACTTCAGTGACCTTTATCTATCAACGTTTCGTTCCATGAGAACATTTTCCCCTTTTTGGAGCCCCATTACAAATACAATTTTCTTTAAAAGATAAGCAAAGGTCAAAATAAATGATATTATTTTCAATAGGTCTGTTTTCTGATCTCATAACGGAACTGAAAAGGGGAGAGCGAGTAAGATTTACTTTTTACAATTTTGTACTTTATTATAACAATGCAGAATGGCTGAATGGACAAAACTTAGATTTGACTGTCTTGTTTTATCTTTTTAGTATCAAACTCTCAAACTAAATCCACAGCTTGTACATAATTATTCTATTTTATTGTATTTCGATGAAACTGTTTTATTCAACCATCTGGTACCGATTTACAATCAATCTTTTGATATCGTTTAGTAAAGTCCTATTCAGTAAGACTTTCAAAGTAAAACATGAATTTTATATATTGCCTATGTAATTTTTGCCTTCATAATATCAGTTTGCGTATTTTTTTTACCAACAGTTCATCATGTTCGTAGTTTTCGTTGCCCTTCTGTCATCTGCTTCGGCAGCCAAATATTGTTGCGCTCCGCCCCAATGGGAGGGGGACATGGGCATTGTCATGGGCATTGTTAATCAAGGACAGTCAACGATAGTAGAGGTTTGTTTCCACATTACTATTAAGTTCTCTTTTCTTAAACTTTTTACATTGTAAAATCACGTGACGGATTTCTTTTTGTAACATGACTGCGGTCCAGTCCAAAATATACGGATTGAGGGATTTTCGGCGGTAACGAGGCTTTGTTCGAAGTATTCCGCCAAACATTTACGCGTGAGCTCGAATTTCCGGTTTGTTGCATCAGCAAGAGTTTAACACTTATTGCAAGAAAACCCTCTGTTAATATATAGGTAATTCACACTGTGTTTCCTTCCATCCGCTCTTTCTGAGATAGCTTTAGTTAGTATGGGCTTCTAATTGATATTTTTGTATGGTTGGTTGATTTTTAATGTGTGACCTTTTCTACCTCAAATGAGCACAGCGTTCTCACGGTGAGCAATTGTGACCAATGCTGTGTACGCCGTTCGACGTGGGGCTTCAGAAGTCCTCTTCTTTATAACTGCTATGCCAACAATAGAGCTCTGATACTTTGATGGGAAACTACTTCTAAGTTTGTACGAATTATGACCCAGGTCAAAATTGGTCTTGTCCTGCAGATCACTTAATTTTAAAAGAAACACCTCATTCTTCTTCAACCAAACTCGAATTAATATTTTGTTGTGTAGCATTGTCAAGTTAACCTTTACCAAGAATTTGCAAATCGTGACTATGTAGTCAAAATTGGCGCTGATCCATTCAACATAGAATCATATTGGAAGAAAAACTTTAAATCTTCAACTCCTTAATTTTCATAACTTCAAGGCATAAAGATTTGACATTGTGTGGGAAGACCATTACCAAGTTTGTTCAACTCTTGAGGGGTCAAAATTGGCTTCGCTTCCAGGTTCACTTTTTGTTTTTACATAGACTCATATAAAGGGAGACCAAAAGAAACTCCCCTCATCTCAAAACACAACGTCAAGAGCTAAAATATTGGTATTTGGTGTGTGTCATTGTCAGGTTTATTTTCCCAAAGACAATGGCTTTCATGTGAGCGATCATGACCCTTTATTGGTGGTGGTGGTTGTTGTTGTCACCGAAAATATGAAAATGTAATAATATTTATAATCATTTATATTTCGTTGTTCGTTTTAAATGTACATCAATGTATGTATACACGTTAATTTATGATTTGAATGTTATGATAATGAATAACTTCCAATATCCATTTCATTTTGATCAGGGGACGATGACCATTTCAACTGACGAAGTGAATGAAATTGTTGCATTCAACCAAACACTGGCGGTGGACGGAAAACCCGTAAACCAGCGTATAGTTAACGATAAGAAAAATGTAAGACTTTTAATTAAAAACCACTTATGCATTAGAAATGATTTGATTTTACAAGTCTCTGGCCGTGTTTTAACAACCCTCGTATAAAATATGTAAGACTTTTAAAAACCAAATATGCATCAGATATGATGTCCCAGGCCTATTGCATTTATTTTTTTAACAATCCTTGTTAAAGGTTTTTATTTGTAGCGTCCTGTAATAGTTTCTAAAAATTTATTTATTGGCCATTCACCTGTAACATCCTTTGCTGCCTTAAAACCATCATTTAAACAGTATAAAACTCATGTAGTCATTTCTAAATTAATGTGTCTTTTAAAATGGTCTTTTAAATACAATGTACATCTTTAATCATTTTATACCATATAAAACGTTATCAATTAATGAACTATGAGATATTCCAATAAAAAAACATTTTTGAATCAAATCTCATAAAGCCCCGTTTTCAATTTCTAAGTCTAAATTATTTCATACTACTGCATATTGTACCCCACATAGCCTTGTTTCATTTCTCAGTCCAATATAGATCTTATATAATTTATCATTTCAGAATGTAATGTACATCATGGACTCTACCGGTTGTCACAAAACTGTTGCCTCACCATTTCTCCTCGGCTGTATTCCAGGTATTTGTATAAGTTAGCTGTTTTATAAAACAATGGCATTTCTTATAAATATATGTAAAAATATATACATGTATATAAAAACCCTCTATTAAGACCACTAAAATGTCTAAATAAAACAGTCTTAATAGCTGTGTACTTAAAAATATATGTGCATGAACTTATATGATATAAAATACGTACATGTTTGCACTTTTTAGACAATGACAATTACAAACTACGGTTGCACAAAGGTGACATGTGTGCTTTTATTTATCTCGTGCGCACGAGATACTATGTCGTGGCCACGAGTTACTAAGTCGTGGTCCCGAGATAGCTAAGTCGTGGCCACGAGATACTATGTCGTGGCCATGAGTTACTAAGTCGTGGCCACGAGATAGCTAAGTCGTGGCCACGAGATACTATGTCGTGGCCACGAGTTACTAAGTCGACATAGTATCTCGTGGCCACGACTTAGCTATCTCGTTGTCACGACTTAGTAACTCGTGGCCACGACATAGTATCTCGTGACCACGACTTAGCTATCACGTGGCAGTATTTTCAAAGATTAATGTTGTAAAATAAGTTGTTAAGTTCAAAAATTTCATAATATATATAGCGTATTCTGATAGGTTAATTATCTCGTGCGCACGACTTAGTTATCTCGTTCGTACGACTTAGTAACTCGTGGTCACGACATAGTATCTCGTGGCCATGACTTAATTATCTCGTGACCACGACTTAATAACTCGTGGCCACAACCTAGTATCTCGTGGCCACAACTTAGCTATCTCGTGGCCACGACTTAGTAACTCGTGGCCACGACATAGTATCTCGTGCACAAGAGATAAATAAAAACACACTAATGTCACCTTTGTGCCACCGTAGCTTAGAGATACATAGATTCCAGTAATTGGCGAAGGGGCAGCCTGCTGAAACATTGTTATTTTGTACCGCCTTTTCTGTTGTTATATGATAGGAATTATTTCAGATAATGCGACAGAGACAACTGATAATATACATTATGGTCTTGGAAGCAACTCTGTCAAAGTAAAGGCATACACGATTAATTACTCTGGATACTCGGTGTATATGGCCGTGACTGCGGACAGCTGCGTACCCGTCACCGAGGTTATAACTGGAAGTCTAGAGGCTATCACAGGACAACAGGAATACGGCCCTTGTACGTATAGTGATCCGCTCTAAAGTCACGCTATCATTTGATCATTAAATAACGAATTATTACTTTGCTCTTGAAAATGTTATTCTACGTTTATACGAGTACGTATGTCTGAAATGGTTAAATTGACGAAGTTATTTAATATACAATTGATTTGAATTCTACATCTATTTTCAAGCATATTAGATCTCTCCTTCTATTTTCAAGCAGTATCCAGGTCTCTACTTATAATTTCAAGCATTTTCTTCCACTCTATTTATATTTCAATACATTTTCTAGAACTCTACTTATATTCTACGCATTTTCCAGTCAAGTCTTTTCAAATATCAACAAAAGAAAAAAATACAAAAAAGTTAGAAAAGAAAAGAAAGACAAGAAGACCTTTTTCATAATTGTTTGTACAAAGAACCAAATTAACCTGCTGGGACCGAACATGATAAGCATGTGTCACCAGTATAGAGCAACGCCAGCCTGCATATTTGTGCAATCTGTTCATGCTTTAATCTGTTGGTATTTTAATTTTGAAATCCTTTGAATGAACTATCCCAAATTGAAATTACAGTCAACTATCGTTATCTCGACATCGCTTATTCCATTTTTCGTTATCTTGATCCCGATATTTTCCTTTCTTTATCTATATAAAGTTTATCTCGGCTTTTGGATATCTTTTTTTAGTATTTCAAATGAAATTTTAGTGTCATCAGTTATTTTTACACTAAAATCCTTTGCTTATCTCGACGAATAAAGTGTCTTCTGCCATCGGCACACATTCAGCAGGTTAAGGGTTGACGTAATTTTTTTAACAAAAAATATTCAAGTGCTTTGTCAAGGAGCGACGCTTGAATTGCAGCAAGTGCAGTTTGAAATGTCGTCTGATAAGTTTTGAGTAGGTAACATGTACAATTGTCTGTTACAGCGGAAACAATGGAGGCTTTATCGTTTGCTAACATTAGTCCAGGTATAGCAAATAGAGCCGTGTTCGATGTTCCAGCCCAGTGTGAACCGAGACAGGTAACTATGTTGAATGTTTGATTTGCAATGGTGTCGAATTTTAAATAACATTCTGATAAGAGTAGATTACGATTCTGATAGTAAATAATGAGAAAAATTATCACAAGTCAATATAAAGTTTGTTCAAGCTACTGAAATATGTCGATACTGGGCTGTGCTACTTTTGTTAATTATATAGACAGCTACAGACCATAATTAATTAATGAAGGTCACTCTTAGATTAAAGGTTAATCTTTTTTTTTACAATATTGCTGATTTTTACATTCCAGTAATGATTTTGATAAATTTAGTTGGTCAAACAAAGTTCCAGATTATAGAAATATTTTCCTTTCTTTTTTTCCAGACCCAACCAATTGGTCGACGTGCATTATTCGTCATTTGATTTCATGTTCATATCATTGTGAAATATAAACTGTATCTATAAACAAACTTGATGAGTTTTTTTTTCTACATTTAAATGACCGTTCCCTTATATACATTAATAATTACAACAATCAATTATCATAATATTGCAAGCAATCCATAAGTCCCCTGCCGGTTAGAACCCCAGCAACATTCTGATGGGCCATTGGCCATTCAATTTTACCAGTGAATGAATGACATGAATGAACTTAAATCTTTTGAGTTCTAAGTTTGTCTATATCACAGTAATGTGTTAAGTTTCCCTGCCTAGTAAGGAAATTATGTTTATACAACCTTGTCATATTATTACGATGTGGGATTTTAAAGTAAATCCTATAAGGAATGAAGAAGTTGGAGTAAAAAATACCAACTTCTCGAAAAAAATCTAAGTTCAAGGGGAAAATAATTTTAATAATTAAGTTTGAAGTAAACACCTTAAGAAATAAAGAACTTATAGTGAAAAAGCTGAAAAATTTAAATCAGAAATCTTGAAATTCAGGCTATTTGTTGCCATAGCAACCAGAATTTTCAACATAGGAAGAAAGGAACAAGGAACATCGCAATGCGATGCAACCAGGTTTTCAGCAAAATATTTCACAGAAGCTTTGTCATGAAGGGGCATTTGTTTTTAATTGAACTTTTAGGAGGAATTATGGCTTTTTTAATATTCCTCAAACAAAAATGATTGAGAAATTTTATGTTGTCTATTCGCCTTTTTTCCCCAAATGTTTTAGAAAGGTAAACAGTACTTTATTTTTGCTTAATTTTTGCATTTTTGCGTCTCTTGTCATTTTCTTTTGTCAACAATATTGGCGTGTGGTGTTTTGTGCGATATCAAGAAAAGTATGTTCACAATTTAAAAAAAATACTTGAATGATGTCTTGGAAGAAACATGGGAATTTAGTGAGCGCCAGGGCACTTGATGACAAAGCTTCTGTGAAAGTTTGGTCAAAATCCATTGAGAAATGTAGGAGAAGTTGCGCACTGTAGAAATTGTTCACTATATATTCTGTATAAGGAAAAAATATACAAAGGGCCATAATTCGGTTAAATATTATCCAATCACAAAACCCCGACAATATGTGCCAGGCACTTGAAAACAAAGCTTCTAAGAAAGTTTGGTCAAAATCCGTTGAGAAATGTAGGAGGAGTTGAGCACAGAAGAAATTGTTCTCTATATATTCTGTATAAGGAAAAAATATACAAAGGGCCATAATTCTGTCAAATATTTTCCAATCACAAAACCCCGACAATATGTGCCAGGCACTTGATAACAAAGCTTCTAAGAAAGTTTGGTCAAAATCCGTTGAGAAATGTAGGAGGAGTTGCGCACAGAAGAAATTGTTCACTATATATTCTATATAAGGAAAAAAAACAAAGGGCCATAATTAGGTCAAATATATACCAATTGCAAAACCCTGGCAATATGTGTCAGGGCACTTGATGACAAAGCTTCTGAGAAAGTTTGGTCAAAATCCGTTGAGAAATGTAGGAGGAGTTGCGCACAGAAGAAATTGTTCACTATATATTTTATATAAGGGAAAAAAACAAAGGGCCATTAATTAGGTCAAATATTATCTAATCGCAAAACCCCGACAATATGCGCCAGGGCACTTGATGACAAAGCTTCTGTGAAAGTTTGGTCAAAATCCGTTGAGAAATGTAGGAGGAGTTGCGCACAGAAACTATATATTCTATATAAGGAAAAAAAAACAAAGGGCCATAATTAGGTCAAATATATACCAATTGCAAAACCCTGGCAATATGTGTCAGGGCACTTGATGACAAAGCTTCTGAGAAAGTTTGGTCCAATTCGTTGAGAAATGTAGGAGGAGTTGCGCACAGAAGAAATTGTTCACTATATATTTTATATAAGGAAAAAAAACAAAGGGCCATAATTAGGTCAAATATTATCTAATCGCAAAACCCCGACAATATGCGCCAGGGCACTTGATGACAAAGCTTCTGTGAAAGTTTGGTCAAAATCCGTTGAGAAATGTAGGAGGAGTTGCGCACAGAAGAAATTGTTTACGCCCGCCCGCCCGCCCGTCCGCCCGCCGACATACCTCAATCTAATAACCAGTTTTTTCCTTCGGAAAACCTGGTTAAAAATATGTGCATAATCTCCAGACTGCCATCTACCCATATTTCTAGTTTCATAAAAATATTTTCAGTACTTTTTGCATTACCACTGGATCCAGGTTATGTGTAAAATTTGCCATATTTTTAGACTATATTTGTTGCCATAGCAACCAGAATTTTCAACATAGGAACAAAAGAAAAAGATGTGCATAATCTCCATACTGCCATCTATCCATATATCAAGTTTCATAAAAATATTTTTAGTACTTTTTGCGTTATCGCGGGATCCAGTTTTGTGGACGGACTGACAGACAGACGGACGGACAGACGGTAAACCTAAAGTTCCCTCCGGTTAAACCGGTAGGGGACTAAAAGTGCTATACATTTTACAGTAATCAAATCAATTGACAAGACCATTCCAAGTCTAGGTGTATACATCTTGTGAAACAAGAATAGTTTGAACCCTCAGCTTAATCACCATTTTCTTCATTGCTGCAGAGTTTAAATAATGAAATAATTATGGGATGTACTGCATGCCAGTGCAAGCCCACTTAAAACATGCAATACAGATTTTCTTAGAATATCTATATCAAATTGTAAATGTGTTCTTTGACGTGTAGACGTTCAGAAATGCAAGAAAGTCTGTGTATGCCTATTACAACAAGGGCTTCGCTGAGACAAGGCAATATACTAAATATAACATGTATAAAATGCAGGTAAAAAGTGGGCAGTGATGTCATGAAAGGTGAGTCGTGTTCGGGAAGGAAAAATTGTACATCAACTGTTTCATTGTAAGTTATAAGAAATGCAGAGATAAAATAATCCTATGATGTGGTTTATAACATTTATGATTTGTGTTGGGTATTTCTCTCATACACAGCTGGGACATAATATAAATTCCCAGTTTAGTCCTATTTTTTCACAGAGGGAAGAGGAAGAAGGCGAGGTAATACAAACGCCTTTCTTGCTTATACATGTATTTTATTTTTTAAAAATATAATAATATCGTAACAAGCATATTTCACTGTTATACACTGTTAAAATTGTTCAACAATTTAGATATATCCAATGTGGAGAATATTACAAAAGCTACAAATTAATCACCATTGGCGCGGCTTGTCTATTCTTGATAGTTTTTGTGGGGTTTTTAGTGACACAGACATGGTAAAGCCCTATGGTTCCTGGTACAGGAAGACCTCAGGTACCCTTTCGTGCACTGTTTCAAGCACGAGCAGGCACCTGAGTAGAACCACCAACATTCTGTTAGCTAGCTGGATAGCTTCCACATAGAAAAGAATACAAAGTCCCTGAAAGGATTCAAGAACAGATGTCGCGGCTTATCTAGGTCTGCACCTCTGGCACGGATTCAATTGCCGCAAGCAGGCTAAGAGTTAAAACAAATAAGGAAACATTGTGCTCTTAGACTACAGCAAATCAGTATATATATATAATTATATCAGACTTAATTTTCTTATAAAATGTTGTTATGTCCTCACAAAAACATTTTTATCATATAAATTTAATTTATTTTTCAACTTCATAGTGCTTCAGCTATAAATGTAAACACTCAATTAAGTTGCCCTTACTATTATGTCTCTATCATAATACAATACATGTATTCTAAATCACATATACGAACGTTTGCATATACATATATAAAAATAAGATGACCATTTGGTCCCATTATCATTCTATTGCACAATTATCACATCCAAAACACATAAGGGACATAAAATAATAAATTATGTACATTCAAGTTCCAATATACAAAGAAGCTGTCTAACATAAGACAATGATTTATATACATGTAAACAAAACAACTAAAGGGTATGGTGTTGTTGTTTTGTTTTTTTGCCAACAGGCCTGACTTTTATAACATGACCGGAATTTATCAGTAATCAGGACAAGTTTAACCAAGGACTTTAATTTTACATACAAATTGAATTGGCATACCAGTTTCATAGGTTATGATCAAATAATGTACATGAATTACTTAAATGGCAGTTTGATATCAATTTTCATAACACACACTTAACTCAGTCAATCAAAATCACAGGGTGACAAAAATTAATGTAATGCCTTAACCCTTATCTTACAAAACTTGTATAATGGACTTGTCCTGCTTTTGAATTATGGAACAGTCCATTTGTAGTTGTAGGGATTTCAGTATTGATAATTACAATCATAAAATTAAGCAGACGTAACTGTTGACAATAAAGAGCTTTGTGAGCCTTTGTGGAAATGTAGGATAGTCAAACTCTGTACCGGTGACTAAAGTATTTGGTTTAAGCATGCATCATCACTGCCAATATCCAATAGAGTTACAATGTCAATGATAAATTTACATACACATTAAGTTTCCCACTGCATGTATACTATTTATAAGACATTTCAAAAATACACTGTTTTTTCCAAATACATTACCAAGTGGGTCATGACACACCCCTTTTCTCCAAAATATGGAGCTAAAAATACATTGTTTTATATAAGGCAGTCATTTATCAATTATTTCACAAATTTACATATTTATATACGTATAATATACATGTCTATGATAAAGATGAAATTTGTCTGTTTCCTGTGTAAGTTTTGCTAGGCACCTTTACCTTTGTATGGAACTATAATCACCACCAGTATGGCCACAAACAGAAGCACAATAAATACCCAGTAACCTGAAATATACAAATAAAATCACTATGTAGCAACTGTCTTGTAATAAACCTGTTATTCAAAACAACAGCTCAACACGGGGAATAGCATGGACTTTGATGTTGAGACCTATGAATACTTCATAACGTCCCTGCCTTGCTTGGATTGTCAGAATATAAAATCAAACTAAAAATGATATCTCATACAAGTTAGACAATATGCCTGACTATTTGGGCTACATCCCCCAAAACAAGCAAAAATATTAACCATTCATTCATCCAGCAATGCAAGGACAATTCTTGCAGTAATAACTTTTCAGAATTCTACACTATCTTCAGGAATTCTGATGAGGAGAGCTTGACATAAATGACACATAATCCATATATAAATTGTGTTTCAAACTTTATGCAGAGATAAAAATGGCCACTTATGTAACTATCTAGTTTGTTATCAAAGTCAAAAGAAAACACATATAGTTTTTGCTATTTTGACAGGAGTTTTTTTTACGACATTTTAAAAATACACTGCTTTTTTACCCAATACACCATCTAGTGGGTCAAGACACTCACCTTTTTCTTCAAAAAGTGGAGCTAAAATACACTGTTTTATATAAGGCAGTCATCTATCTCTTATTTTCACAAATTTACATATTTATATACATATAATATACATGTCTATGTTTAAGATGAAATATGTCTGTTTCCTGTGTAAGTTTTGCTAGGCACCTTTACCATTGCATAGGACTAAGTCAAAAGAAAACACATATGAGCCGTGTCATGACAAAACCAACATGGGTTTGCGACCAGCATGGTTCCAGACCAGCCTGCGCTCGCGCGTTTACAGGACCCATGCTGTTCGTTTCCCAACTTTTTAAAGTAGAGAAACTGATATAAACGCATGGATCTGACAACTGCGCGGTTGCGCAGGCGGGGTTGATCCATGCGGGGTCGCAACCCATTATGTTGGTTTTGTCATGCGCGGCTCATATAGTTTTGGCTATTTTCACAGGAGATATCTAAACTTGGCTTACACTATTACAAGTTTCTGAAGAACTTCATATCAATTTATAATCATGACACACCATTATATAGATGTAAATATAATTTAAAAGCAATTTATACATATCACACACCATACTAGCCCAAATTATAATGTGTTTAGTTAACTGTGGGACTGAATCTAGCTCAGACAAAATATATTTTTCAGGTTTTTTTTTTTGTTGTTGTTTTTTTTGTTTTGTTTTTTTTAAATGAAAATTAACCACTATAGTTAGTATTGCACATACTTATTACATTTGTATAATTCAATCAATTTTTTTATTGAATATTTGAAAATATTAACTTCATACTTGACTGCACATATAGAATCAAACAAGTGTCAGCAGAAATATGACATATTTATCAAGATTGTCAACAAGAAATTGAAGAAAATAATACAAAATCAGAAATTAAACAAATTTTAATCCATCCACTTAACACTGCAAATATTGGATACTGACCTATTGTAAGGTTAAGAAAGAAGTAAAGAAGAAATGTCTATCAGAATTCACCCAGGCTTAACTCTTAACTTATTGACCTTAAACCACCTTGACAAGCCTCTAATTTCAAAACTGTTCATTAGCAATGCTGAGGACATCAAGATGAAAGTTGATCCATCAACAGTATAGAACCTGGTAAGACATTCGAAAGTTCATGCTTGCCTGGCTCTATACTGGTGGTAAAATGTCTAATAACTTTCAATTTCAGCCAGGTAAGGCTTAAATTAATGTTTTCTGTGAATCATATATACAGGTACTTACAGCATGTGGCTGATTTTCTATCTACTATTCTTATATGTCTTGTCTCCTTGATGAGTCTATGACCTGTCCTGTCTGTATGGTCAGTGATGTCATCTATCAAATCTGTAAATATTAAAAAATATATCTTGTTATATTCAACTCAATATCTCATTATATTCAAAACAATATTGTGTTATATTTCAATTCCATATCTCATCTTCAACTCAATATCTTGTTACATATGATCTCAATATCTTGTTATATTTCGACATCATTTAAAGATGTATTACTGTCCTTTATGTCGGAATTTTGGATATGAAAATCAAAAATTGTATTCGAAGGTTTAAAGCAGAAATTTTCGTTTGTGATATAAAATTGTTATTCTTAAGATACGCATTAATTTTGTATTACTGAGAACTGAGATCAAAAGTTAGATTACCATAGCCATTCTACACCCAATTCTTAAAATTTTGGTGGTTCGACTTCCTTAATAACCATCAGCACAGCTTCCTATAGGTGGCATGGGCCATATTTATGTATTGATGTATTTGTCAAATTAAGTAAACAATTCTTTTTATCAAGAATCATGTTGGTAAACTTCTTTCAACATATATCATTTAAGCATACAATTTTTGTATGATATAAAAATGTTGGTTTTTTTTTTTTAATTTGTTTGTTTGTTCTTAAACCAATCTTAACACATTATTTGGTTCAGTCCAATAACAGGTTTTCCTGGATAACTTTTAATTCTTAACAAAATCAGAATGAATCATGGTATGCTGCTGTGTAAAGGTTAAAATTACATGAAAAGGAAATATGATCTTATAAAATACAATACTTTATATTAATAACAAACTCAAGAACCTTAAATTCTAGAAGATTGTTGCTATTTGTGTATTAAATAACATATATTGAGGTCTTCCTCCACCAGTAAAGCTTTGGTTATTATAATTTTATATAAATACTCAAATACCATATTATTTGGTTATTGATATAAAAAAATTCATGAGTTGATTACATCCTAAATAAATTACGCCCGTAAGACAAACCATTTTAATAAATATTTAATTATACCATTTTGCGAGTCAACTTCATTTCCAATATCTAATGCCATATTTTTCTGTCTGGCAATCACATCAGACAATGCTTCAAGTCCTTGATCTTGTGCTGAAATATAAAGAATCGGACAATATATGTTAATGCTCTTGCTTTTGAATGAATTTTTGACCTCATTCTCAGTTTTTCTCACTTTCGCAATTTTATTTTCGAATTTTTGGCAAACAAAATCAAATCTGTCATGCTGCAGGCTTAAGCTATCTTTTCTTCAACAATCATGTTTTATCCCCTTCTCCAGCTCCCTGCCCCCCGCCCTTCTGATTATTATCCCACTATCTATTGTAATGTGTGAATAGACCAATGATGGTAAATTGTGACAACTCTTTGAGTGACCGCTTTTTACTTTATTTTTTATTTTTAAAATGCCATAATATGGAAACACAGGTCAAGTATTCTTGCATAAAAACTGTGCATGCAGGTATACATTTATAGCCAAACATGAGCAATTACCTAGAAAAGCATCCTGACAAAGTTTGATCATGATTGACGCAAGAATATGACTACTAGAGTGTTAACAAACAAATGTGGACGGACGAAAGACATTCAACGATCCTAAAAGCTCATCCTGAGGAAGCTCAGGTGAGCTAACAAAAATCATTAATAGATAAAATCAAGTAGGCATGTACAGTTGTTGCACATTTCTAAATATGCATGACTGCATAGCTTACTGTGATAGATAAACTGGTTATTTAATCATCAAAATACAATTGTCAAATGACATCCCACTAGCCCGTGAAAAGCATGACGAAATGTTTATTTATATGAAAAACAAATAAAGCAATGCAGAATTTCCGAATCAGACATGTACTTTTATGCAAGAAGAGCACTTACCCACTACATTTTTTAATTTGTAATCCGCAGAAGCCCTCCGAATTATAATTTCTCTCCCTCCTGCCTGAGACTTTATATATTTACTAGTACCTCCACAGATGTTAATTCAACTAAAAAGATGTATTAATCCTCTACTTTCAAATAAAAATGATAAAACATGTAAACTTTATGCGTCCTTTTTCCAGCATGTATTTATTGATTTTTAGTCTGCAGTAGGTATTAAAGTTTTTAAAATTTTAAAGAAGACAGAAATACCTTGTATAATTTGTTGTTGTTGTACTCGTATTTCAGAATTGCCAACATTTCTCAAATCTTCTGGCTCTTCATGTACCCCCCATACATCAGCCGATTCTGATCCTCCAGTCATCAAGTTATACCTAAAATATTTTACACAACAAGAGCACATTTATTTTAGTCATTTTGGTGAAAAACTTAGATGCTGTTAAAAACTAGAAATGTGTCCATAGGACACGGATGCCCCCACACGCCACTGTTCTGTCAATCTTATGACTCTAGGTCAAATATTTTTTGGACTACATGTGCCACAAGTTGAAAACTAAAAATCAACAAAGGGCCATAATTCTGTTAAATTTGGTCGCAGCAAAAATTCCTACCTTTACTACCATCTACACATTAAGGTTGTTAATCCCTGGAAGTTTAAGCAAAGTCTGCTATCCGGTTTAAGAGGAGTTGCGTTCACAAAATTTCTACATAGTATATAATGAAAAAATCAACAAAGGGCCATAATTCTGTTAAATTTGGTCGCAGCAAAAATTCCTTCCTTTACTACCATCTACACATTAAGGTTGTTAATCCCTGGAAGTTTAAGCAAAATCTGCCATCCTGTTTAAGAGGAGTTGCATTCACAAAATTTCTACATAGTATATAGTGAAAAAATCAACAAAGGGCCATAATTCTGTTAAATTTGGTCGCAGCGAAAATTCCTTCCTTTACTACCATCTTCACCTTAAGGTTGTTCATCCCTGTAAGTTTAAGCAAAATCTGCCATGCGGTTTAAGAGGAGTTGCGTTCACAAAATTTCTACATAGTATATAGTGAAAAAATCAACAAAGGGCCATAACTCTGTTAAATTTGGTCGCAGCAAAAATTCCTTCCTTTACTACCATCTACACATTAAGGTTGTTTATCCCTGTAAGTTTAAGCAAAATCTGCCATGCGGTTTAAGAGGAGTTGCGTTCACAAAATTTCTACATAGTATATAGTGAAAAAATCAACAAAGGGCCATAATTCTGTTAAATTTGGTCGCAGCGAAAATTCCTTCCTTTACTACCATCTACACATTAAGGTTGTTCATCCCTGTAAGTTTAAGCAAAATCTGCCATCCGGTTTAAGAGGAGTTGCGTTCACAAGATTTCGGGACGTACGGACGGACTGACGGACGGACGGACTGACGGACGGACAAGTGCAACGCTATATGCTCCCACATTGGGGGGCATAAAAAAAACATGCTTCCAAGCAAACTAAATGAACTTAACAGGGGTTCCACTAGCCATGGAATCCTGAGGCCAGTATGGAGTCAGTTTTGCTAAAAACAAGGTCAAATCTCATGATTTTAACAAAATATATTCAGTTAAAATGTTAAGGGTCAATTCAGGCCTTTATGAAATTTGAAGGAAAAAAGGGTCATTTCAAGGGTCAAATGGACACCCTGCTTAACTTCTTCTACATTTTACTCTTCACATCATACAGAAAATATCAAACAAGGCGTCCCTGGCCAGTGTGTCCCACTATTACCATGCTTATCCTACAATAATGCAACAATACAACTCTATATAATCTGTGACACCTACCTGGATTCTCCTGCCTCATTGCGGAATGCTTGTTCAATTTGTTTCTCTTTCGTTGTAAGATTGTCTATCATTACTTGGCGTCTCTCCACCTCTCTTTGTGTTCTTATTAAACATCAAGGAAAAAACAGATGAACTTGGGTTATGACCTTAAGCTGTCAAAATTTAATCTAAGACTAACATACACTGGGTAAAAGCATCTACACACAGCGGGTAAAAGCATCTACAAACAGCGGGTAGAAACATCTACTTCCTGTGCTAACAACAAACAATACAAGTTAAATAAGGTTACAAGAAATGATATTGTGAAGTTGTGAACAGAAGTTATAAATGCTTGTGTTCACAAAAAACCATACACACTGAATTTTAATATATATAAATGATAATGTGATTTCATTTCTGCACAAATGTAATATACCAGGTATCTGAAAAATATTGCATATTTACCAACAATCATTTTAAGCTTTTTGTGGTAAAGGTCACAGCAACCTTGACCTTTGACCAATGACCTGAAAATATGGGTCATCTACTAGTCTAAACCAATGTCTGTATCAAATCTAAAGATCATGAAGGATACATGTGATAGGATGATGTTGCTCTGATCAATCCATTCTTCAATTTTTGTAGATCTCCAGAAAACTGTTTCATAGATGAGCGTACTTGTGCTGACAACTACAAAATATATACATGTATAAAATGGTCAAAACTGTTCTTAAAATTGGTAATTTTACAAAAAAAGATACATGTCATAAGTTACAGATAGACTATACAAAGGAAACTTTGAATAATCATTAGCAACAGAGTTTATATGCAAACATGTAGTCTTAAAAACAGAAGAGGTTTTCAGCAAAAAGAAAAGAATTCTCAATGGTTGATCTAAATAAATGCAAGTTATACACAATCATGTACCTTTGTATATGGAGTACTGGTTCTGTTATGTTTGTTTCTTTCGTTGATTTTTTGCATTATATCCTGCCCTAGTTCCAGGCATCTGTCATAGTCTGTAAGCCTATAATATAATGGGTATCCACTTTTTTATTTATTGTTGTCTAGCATACAAAATTAAATACTTAAGTATATTACTGAAAATTAATTAAGTTAACAGAGAGGTGAAAAACTGAGCAGTGTCAAGTATAGTAAATGACAAATCTTTTAGACAAAATGACCCTCGGAATACCATACTGCTGCTCTACCCACTGAGCTATCCAGCCTCTTACGCATCATCTCCCCTTAATAGTGAACAGTTTTGCACTGTGATATACTCCCCTGCTATATTGAAATTTGTCCTCGAATATCACAGAGTTACAGGGCAATGTAAATTAAACTCTAAGCTATATTCAGTCACGGTCCCCCGTTGGGCGCCAAATGTCAAAGGGTGAGAAAAATGTGCAGCCTGACCAGGACTCGAATCCAGGACCCTCTGAATATCGTACCTTGGCTCTACCAACTGAGCTATCCGGCCGCTTACACATCATCTCCCCTAAATAGTGAACAGTTCTGAACCATGACAACATTAAAATATGATTTTGACATTGTGTAATGCCATTTGGTCATGCAATTATGTTGCAAAGAAGTACAATTATAGGATTCAAGTGTATGGAAGTATGCAACTTTCCACTAAAATTATCATATTTGTTGGAACCAGACCAAGAATAAACATAGATCTATACATGTATTTATTCTGATTCATTTGGACTAAAGTAATAATAAGAAATGTAATTATTATTGTGAGATGTATACACTAGTACCTTTTTACGACTTGATATTGCTCAGAGTTAGACATTTTTTGATACAATAGAATGTTAATGCACCTTTTTACTTGCCTAAACATCTAAAGAAACACAAGGATGCCTGACATATGTAAATGTAAAGTCCAAGCGTGAAGAGTAAGCAGGGATTAAATAAGTCTGAGGGCTTTTACAGATTATTAGCACTAAATTTACATACAAGTTAATGTCTGTCTTGTTAATTCCCCATTATCAGTTTTTCAAAATAAAAAATATTATCACTCTTTAAAGTTTTATATGCTAATGCGATGTCATTTGACAGTTATGTTTTGATAATGGAACTACTGTGTAGTAATTGCTCAGGATTTAATACTTTATTGGCAAAGTCAACTTTTCTTTGATGTTTCGAAAGGGCGAAATGGGGATAATAATCAGTTAATATGTCTGACTACCTCGCAGTGAGCCCTTAGTCAAAATATATTGTTGTGCCAAAGCTAGATTCTGAGATATCTTTTTTCTGGGTCAGAATCTCGCTTCATAGCGGGGAGATATTGACCATACACAAAATACTGTAACACTTTATTTAAATACAAAATAGCATAATATCTCATTGCTTAGTATGTACATAAGTCGGACTAGATATTGTCCATAGTGATAAAAAAAATAGCACATCTCATCACATAGTACAATAAGTTGGACTTAGTGCTGTATACATTTCAATAATAATTAATAGTGAGAAATGAAATTGGCAACTTGAATATAAGATGAAGTATGCCACAAAGAAGTAACATTGTAAAAATGGTAGCATTTCATTTTTTAGCAGCCATGTTAACATCTACAAAAATTATAGACATGGGCTTTATTACATGCACATAGATGTATAGACATGTCAATAACCACTTATCAATAGAAAGCAACTTTTCCTGCACCTGACCATGACTCATGGAATGGCTATAAAAATAATTGCGAATTCTTATTGTCTGTCTGAGAGTATCTCTTCATAAAAGCACAAGTCATGCCATAATTCTCTTACTTTATGAGTTCCAACATAAAATAGATCTATAACTTTCGTTTTAATCTTAAACACTGTTAAAACTGTTAAACGCCCCCAAAGTAGAATCTTACTTCATTAAATTCAATATTTATAAGAATCATTATTAAAAAAAATAAGAACATCTCAATTAAAATGAATAATTTAATTAAGATGCAAATATATAGGGTACAGCAGGATTTATTTTACCAAGAATCTGTCATTTTTCTGACAACTTTTTTGTTTATACGGTGATGGCTTAAATTAGTCCCGATATTGGCGAGCTTGATTAGTAGAATAGAATAGAACAGAATATTATCTGTCCATACGGAAAATCTAAAGAGCGAAAAGGGATCCATTTTCCAAGCAATTTTTTTCTACATTGATGCCAATGGTAATCAACCAGAAAGAATTGTAACGTAAGTCGTTATTTAATGTGTATGTGTTTTTACTTGGATTTTTTTCAATTGATATACTATTGTATCCACTGACTTTGAAGACTATTCACACAAAAACCAGAAAAAGGAAAGTCGCTAAATAATAATTTTCTTCCAGAAGGAATAAACATCAGCATGCAATTGCATACTTATATTACCACAGTCTATAATTGTTGATGGTGATAAGCTTTTCTGTTTTCTGTTCTATATTTTAAACATGGTACTCTCTAATATCACCCACTTCTCGAACAATATCTAATTAATGTAGGAAAGCAATGTACATAATTAATGCATCTACTTTCCTGCATATAGCCTGGGACTCATGAGGGATGTTACACATATTCATTATCGCTCATAAACAGACTCAATCAAACCGAGTCTGCAATTCTCTTGTAATTTTGTTGTGATTAATGCTTCCAAGGGATCACTTTGTTTCCAGATCTTTTTACTATATAACATTATATTTTATCATACAGTATAGATCTACTTATACGTAAATGAAATATTGAGAAATATTGATAAAAAATGCATTTTTTTCATTTTCCTCATTTCACTGTAAATAATTATTTTTCATTGCATGAAAGTATTTTTAAATGGTGTTTTGCAGCACTTTTTTCTTCTAAACTCACCCACTTCAAAAAAATTGAGAAAAGTCAAAATAAGCAGAAAATACAGGGTTTTTTGTATAAATTAATGATATATTAATTCCATCTCGTGGTTTGAAAATGATAACATTAATATTTATCTTCAAACCACTCGATGAAAATCAATCCCGTATTCATAGTAACACGGATTTATATTACTTATAAATCCGTGATAGAAACAAGAAATATTTTCATAAAAAGATACTTGATCGAGGTAAATGAACTTTTTGTTGCAAAACTATTCCGGATTTTTGTATTCATGAAACATGTTAGCAGTGCAAGTTTATTGATCTAGAAATGCTAGTTATTACGTGTTGTGCAATTCAAATTTGTGATTGCAAACAGTTATGCATGGCTCTCAGTAGGGTTAGTCCCACAAACTGCACTACGTTGATGTATTGTGATATTTTTAATATGTATATGTAATATATCCTTAAACGACGTAATTCTGACCGATTTTCAGACCCAGCTAGAACACATAGGTACACCAGAATCTAGCTTTGGATGCTGGAATATTTTGCAATCTGAATGTTTCGAATCACAATTAAAAAGAAAATATGATACAACTTCACATCTTCATCTATATCATATGCTAAGTGTGGAAGCTTCCTAACTCCCATTCCCATGAATTCACGTTGCTCGCCACGTTCCAGTCGACTTACACTACGAGCAAGGGCGCCGTTTGTGGGAAAGCTGTTAAAAACAGTTGCACACCAATTATATAGTACAAAGATAAAAGCGGAGTTTTGAAAAAAGGAAACTACAAGACTGAGAATAAAAGTTATAAAAGCCAAGACCTAACTAAATGGTAAACAAGATGCGTGCCAAGAGGGTCTCAACTGGTTAGCTTGTAAGGACAAGGGTAGGCCATTCCACAGACAAATACTTGTGGGGGAAAATTAATAGACCTTTTAATTTAAGACCGTATTCAAGTTGTCGCCCTTTGATGACGTCATTGGGGGATACGGTGGACAATGCCGATACGATTAAGTACAATAATACAGGGATATAAAGATCTCTATCCTTTCTCTTGTAAGATTGGTTGATTGAAATTGCCAAAATTATGTGTAATTGAATAAGATATTTCATAAAAAGGGTGGGTGAATTGAATAAAAATGTTTACTATTAATAAGGTTAACGATTTGTTATAATAGTAGACCATCTTGCTGGGTAACTGATATGATTACCATTTTCGTTAGATTCTTAATGAAATGAAAATTTACCAGGCAGTTAAATCGTACTTGTTAATACCATAGAGATATAGATAATGTATTTATGTCTCTGCTAATATACAATACCCAAAAGATATTTTGAGTTTCAAAAATGTAAGGATTCTGTAGTTTCGAAAAACGGCTGCGTAAAAATTAATTGCAAGATACTGATTATTAAAAATCATTTTGATTTAAGCATACTAAGACAAAGAAAACACAACAATCTTAATCTATGTAATTTCAAAACAAAATTGTAAAAGCATAATAGGTAAAAATTTTTTGAATGTACATGACTGATATACTATTTGTGTCGGCAAAAAATGCACTCTCAAAAAAATCGTACATCACACCAATATATTTAAGCTGGTAAAGTAATATTTTCAACTTGATACTTTTTTAATTCATACTCTGCTATCAAATATTTTAAAAAGAAATCATCAAAAAAACATAAAACAAGTTGTGAAACACGTTCACAGAAATTCGTTATTAACTGAATTATAATTTTACGTATTTTTGACTGTGCCAGTTGGTAGGACTATGGATCGATCGAGTATCAAATCAGTAAGGCATGACCAAAAAAAATCGCTAGGATGATCAATAACAAAATTCGGACCATAAAATATTTGACAACTAACAAAAGTGACATAATCTGATGTAATGTTATAACTCTAAAAAAATGCCACCCTGGTGATTTATGATATCTACAGCCAAGTGCGCTTGTATATAACAACATATGCACCCTGTTAATGTTACGGCCCAGTGGCGCTTATATACACACATCTATTTATCTATGAAATAAGTTACTGGAAAAAGGTCTTTATTTTTATAACCATAAGAATATATTTTTAATATCAAAATTATCTTATTATCGTCTGTTGCGAATCTAAAATTATAAAAGTCAATGCCACATGGTTTTCGTTCTTTTCGGAATATTTATAAAATTATATCCTTCACTGGTTCTTTGAAATTATTTTTATACGGCATAATGAAAAAGAATCAGTAAGGTGACAGAATGTATTCTGTTATTTTTATATTAAAGCTTGAAAAACAATCATTAAAAGACATTGGCAATCTTATTTTCATGTTTGTCACAAATACTCCGGAATTTTCTAAATGACAGAAAATAACACAGAAAACTAGAAAATGGCCATTTAAATTTATAATAGGAGTGGTATTGTATCCTTGAGTATGGTATCAGGTAGTTCACTTTTCTAATTGGTATCAGATGGTGATGGTCGACCCTCACAAGGCTGTGTTAGATTTTGTAGAGTAGGGTAAAGAGCTCATGTTGCGCCTCTGCTCTAGAGTTTGCCAATTAAGTTCACTTATCATTTTAGATACACTCACGGATTTCCGTGATACACTACTGGTGTAATTGTAGTTGCTTTTGCTGTTGTGTTGTTTATATGATTGATCCAAGATAGATCTTTATTAATTGTTACTCCTAAATATTTTGCAGCCTCAGTGGATTTTAGTTGTTGACCATGTACATTATAAGGGAATGCTACTAGACGTTTTTTTGCGGCTGATACTAAGGAGTTTACATTTATCTGGATTAAATTCCATGGACCAATCAGATTCCCAGTTTTCAAGACTGTTGAGATCTTTTTGGAGGGTTTGTGCATCTTGGGTTGATTTGAATGTTAAGTATACTATTGTATCGTCTGCAAATAGTCTAACCTTGCCCTTAACACTATCAGGGAGGTCATTTATGTAAGATAAGAAAAGGCAAGGTCCCAGGACCGAGCTTTGGTGGACACCAGAAAGAACTGGTAGATTGTCAGAGTTTTGACCATCGACAACGACTTGTTGGGTGCGACCATATAAAAATGACCTTGTCCAATTGATGACCTTTGAGCTAACACCTAGTCTATGTAGTTTAAGGACAAGCTTGTGATGGTCGACTTTATCAAATGCTTTGCTGAAGTCCATGACAATGAAATCGGTCTGTTGGCCTTGCTCTAAATTGTCATGAACTTCCTGAGTGAAACTGATAAGCTGGGTTTCACAGCTATGTTTTGACCCTGTAAATTCATGTTTGAATTTTACTGAGAATATTCATGATTATCGTAGAAGTGGAATCAGATATGTAATGTTCACAATAATATGATGATCCTCTACTTAGGTTTTTGAGCACATCTGCAGACGTGTGACCATTGATATAGCGTCTGAGAGTGAGCTACTATCTTTATTACTCTACTAATGATGACTAAACTAATTATCACTGATGAATTTAGAATAATATTTTTAATAATTCTCAAATTATTTTAAGGTAACTATTTTAATTCAAGATAATTAATTCATTTCTTGCCTGTGTTATTTCGTCTAAGATTGTATCTCTCTCTGTATAAAAATCTCGATAGTCTTAGTCCTTCATTTTTGTGATAAGACCAGGATCTTTTAACCAAGTAAGGCAAGGTTAACTTTTGATGATGCTAGCAGTACTCTAGGACACTTATTATAACTACATCTCACCACATAAATAAAAAAGAAAGATTAGTATAAATCAGCATTAATTGGATAGCGAGTTTTTTAAAAAGAACCAACAGTTTTTTATTATTGCCATATTATCGTAATTTTAACTTGTTTTATTTACATATAGAATAAAATTCCATCTGGATGATTCTTAGAGAATTCTTGATTATACCGTTTTTTATAGAGTCTTAGGAATAGATATAAAAATGTGAGTTTTTTAAAAATTTCTTTCCTACCTTGAGCGGACCTAGATTACAATAATCTAAAATTCCTATTTCACATGTCTTCTACATAAATTATGAAATCGAATTATTATTAGTTAGGAGTAATAATAATGATAAGAGCTTCAAGAATAGCTACGCTCTCGCTAAATTACCAGCGTTGTTCCAGATCAATAAATCATATTAGATCGATATCTAAAACATCATAAATGTCCGTTTTTTTAAGGTTATAGGTTTATGCAAAGATAGTGTAGGTCATATATAATTTATGTGGTCAGACGACACTACATAGCTGTCATCA